AAATAAAATATTTTAAATAAAAAATTACAGTCATTGTAGCAGACTAAGACAACAATCTGATTATGCAGTAAGGAGCCCCGCCTTCACTCTTGAGGGTGAGCTCACGCAGTTTGCACTAAACACCTGTGTCTTTTAAAAAAGGTTTGCTTGCTGTTTTATGCTCTTCAGGATCGTTGCATTTTTGCTGTTTTTTTGTGTTCCATTTTGATGCTCTGTGATGTAGGACAAAAAGGCAAATTTCTAAAACAAGTGGTTATTGTAGCTTTTTAAATAAAACATTTAGAATTGTTTTGTAATCTTTAATTAATGCATTGGATACAAAACTGCTATTTAAATTTAAACGTTTGACTGGAGCGTCGTTAATCTTAATTTTAAATTATTAAATAAAATTTGGCCACTGGTAATTTTGCAAATAAATAAATAAATAAATAGGCGTCACGGTGGCGCAGCACAATTCGGACAGCTAGATGGTCGCTGGTCGACAGATCAGAATTGGGTCAGTTGGCATTTCTGTGTGGAGATGCATGTTTTTTTTTCGTGTTGGCGTGGGTTTCCGGATGCCCCGTTTTCCCCCACAAGACATCCCACACAGAAAGAACGTTCATACATTCGTTCATTCATTCATTCATATTCTTGTCGGCTTAGTCCCTTTATTAACCCGTGGTCGCCACAGCGGAATGAACCGCCAACTTATCCAGCACGTTTTTACGCAGCGGATGCCCTTCCAGCCGCAACCATCCACAAACACTCATTCTCACACATTCTTACACTACGGACAATTTAGCCTACTCAATTCACATGTACGCATGTGGACTGTGGGGGACACCGGAGCACACAGAGGAAACCCACGCGATCGCAGGGAGAACATGCAAACTGCCTATGGTTTATGATGGTGTTTTTACATTTGCAAAGCGGACAACTGCACACTTATCATAACCTAACATAAATCTTTATTTTTACCTTTAAAATTATGAAAAAAAAGGTATATAGTCTAGAGTTGTGTGTTATCCATGCCAAAATTTAACCAATTCTCTCGGTAATAACTGTGAATTTAGGTAGCTATCTTTTAAATGTATTTTTCTGTCTACACTAATGCTTTTAAATTTAACTAATTAACACAAATAGCTACTATTTTTTATTTTTTTTAATGACATTAGATTGTAACATTTAACTTTTTCTCATTTATATTGGTTGGGTACGGCTACAAGAACACTTTTTTCAGTGTACGTGAAGCGTGATGATTTTGCTGATTTCACTATATTTATTTATCGGTATAGAATAGTCTAACCGTGGGTTAGCTTGCAAGCATAGTTTGACGTCTTTACCTAAAACTGTAAAAATTTATTATTTGAAATAAAACGGAAATAAATAAGGAGAATAAAATAATGTGAAGTTTCCCAGAGATGGGTTGCGGCTGGAGGGCATCCGCTGCGTAAAAACTTGCTGGATAAGTTGGCGGTTCATTCCGCTGTGGCGACCTCGGATTAATAAAGGGACTAAGCCGACAAGAAAATGAATGAATGAAAATAATGTAAAGCCCTTGTTTGGCACTGAAAGATCAGTCGCATTTATATAAACGGTATCGTTGCACTAATTCATTGATGTAATAATGAAACTGTGCGCATTATTATTACTATAAAAGTATATTGCCTTAAGTCAGTAACTTGGGCAGCAATGCAAAGTAATAACAAATTAGTGAATAAATAGCCTAAATGAAAGGAACAAGAGGGTCCAAAATCAGTCATAAGGTCTGCCCTTTTAAAATGCACCTGGCAGGGCCTGTCAGGGATGGCATTGTGGAGTTTTGCTATAACGCACATCAAACGCACCCAAACAAGCTAACCAACGTATTCAAGACCACTAAAGCTGGCAGGTGCTTGATGGGCTGGAGCTAAAATCTGCATTAGCCCTCAACTGATGTTGCCCATGCAGCCCTATTGAGTCGGTTAGTTTGCGTTTGCAGACCTGCTATGTCAATGTAACTTTATATTTTATTCATTATTTTAATTTATATTTTGCTAATTAATACTTAACTGTAAAAATGTTATTGAATATACTTAAAAGATTTTCTATTTACGTTCAATATGTCTGATACAAGGTTTAATATGTGTTAGTTGAGAAAGTTATTGATGTGCTCTGGCTCCTTTGAGGGAGGCGCACCGGAAAGCAGGAGAGAGAGGGAAAAAAGGAAGTGGAGGAATTCGGCAGATGCAATGCTGTTGTAATGTTGTTTGTGAATGTTATGTCGATGCTCCAGATTAAAGAAAAGAAACGAATTATCACCCTGGTAACCAGCGTTTATTTACGATGCCCACGTTGGAGAGAATGGTCTGTAAACAGCCAGAAATAAGGGTTACAATAACATGCCCGCTCACTTTTGCCAAGGCACTTACAAAAATACATTTCTTCTGATGCCATCTATCTAAAATGAACATTTACAAGCACAAAGACGTGGAATCGATCTATTGTAAAAGGTACTTTGTAAATAAGCATTTGCTATCAGTTCAGAGTCCCTTCTTCCGCTACGATCAGTGGTGAATTAGTCTTGTCTGGTTCTGTTCATTGTTGATTGGGTGAGAGCAGCTCAAGCTTACTGGCTGTGGAAATCAGCGGGCGTGGCTCATTATACTTCAGGAAAGCGCCGTTTATAACGCGCGTTTCAGTGGGGTTAAAACGGCGTTTTAAACGGCGTTTTGTGGCAAGCGGATCGCGTCATAAACCGCGCTTTTCACTAACACTAAAACGGCGTTAAAAACGGCGTTTTTTACAGGTTTACGCGCGTTATTTGCGGCGTTTGCAATCAGAACGGCGTTTTTAGCGGCGTTTGAAATGGTATTAGCGCCGTTTAATGCGGCGTTTTAATAGTAAACGCGATTGATTAATAGTGTATTTACGATACCTTCGGCTTGCCATAGCCGAGGGGGGGTTGAGCGCGCATACTCAAGAGAGGTGTTATCGCGCGCCTACTGAAGGGCTGGACTGGACGGAGGTTGTGTCGCGTCGCGGGGGCACTTTTGATCGTTTTGGAAGGGCATTTTCTATCCAAGACTAAAAAGGGCATGTGCACTGCACAGGTTGAGCCCTATGTGTGCACGTGCCTGCAAGTTGGGGAATACGACTAATAGCAGTCATGGGGACTGCAGAAACACAGCACACTGTTCAGATTGATGCAGACATTGACTTGTACCGCAAAGAGATCTCTATCTCACTCATGGTTTGTCCTCTCAAGTGGGGGAAAGACAATGCACAACGTTACCCCACTGCTGTCAACATGGGCCAAGTCATATCTCTCTTGTCCCAGAATCCTCAGTCCCAAATGAGAGGGGTTTTTTCTGTTGCAGGGGACATTGTAAATACTCAGAGATACCAGCTTTTACCAGATTATAGTTATATGATAATTTTCCTTTAAACCCATCTCTACCTAAGTGAGTGAGTGATTAAATGTTGAATGTGATGAGTTTTCAACAATACTAAATTGAAACTTAATTTTTTTACATGGTTTAATATTTTTTTGTTATTAAAATTGAAGTTCCTGTTTCAAAGCTTACAGATAGATGGCTAATTTGTATGTCATTGACACTTTTGGCACTTTTTTGGAGTATTTTCATAAGTTTTGTTTTTTCCTGTAAATGATTCAATAAATACCGTACCGTGACATTCATACCGAGGTATTACCGTACCGTGAAATTCTGATACCGTTACATCCCTACTAAATAACATAATTAAATTATTAGAATTGGGATAAATGGGATGCACTTAAAATTGATGACCGAGTTTAATTTAATATACTTAATATAATATAATATAATATAATATAATATAATATAATATAATATAATATAATATAATATAATATAATATTCAGTATTATTAATTCATGTGTAGTTTGCGTATTTGTTTACATTTTATATTAATTTAATTATTTATTTATTTAATACTCATTGAAAATTTAAAATCATTTACAATAAATTTAATAAAAATAAATAAATGAAATAGAAAGTATATTAATTCAAGTGGGGTTTGCTTATTTATTTGTAATGGTACACTCATTTAAAATAATTTAAATAAAAATATAATATAATATTCAATACTATTAATTCATGTGTAGTTTGTTTATTTAATTTAATTGTATATGCATTTAATGAATTATTATTTTAATATTATTTTTAAATTATTTTAAATAAATAAATAAAATGAAAATTAGTATATTTATTAATGTGGCGTTTGCTTATTTATTCATTCATGCAATTATTTTTGATGGTGAAAAATAAATATAATATAATATAATATAATATAATATAATATAATATAATATAATATAATATAATATAATATAATATAATACTATTAATTCTTGTAGTGCTTGTCTATTTTTTAAATGTAATAAAAACATTTAAAATTACATTAAATAATAATAATAATTACATTAATTCATGTAGAGTTTGCTTATTTTTTATAAATACTATTTGATTTAAATTAAATTTAATTATTTTTATTACAGTGTAATTATTGTATATTAATGCAGGAGGAGATTGCTTATGTATTTATTTTTTAATGAAATAAAATTGATTAAATTAAATATTAAGTATATTAATTCATGTGGGGAATGCTTATTTATTTTTTAAAATGTAATACAAATAACTTAAAATTAAATGAGTATAATAATTCAAGTGGAAATTGCTTATTTAATTTACGTAATGGTTCCCTTATTTAAAAAAAAAATTACTATTCTTTATTAATGTGGTGCTTGTTTTGTTCCTTTTTAAAATGGTGACCTATTTTAATTTATAAAATAAAAATGTATATAATAACACAATTTTAATATAATACTACTACTACTACTACTACTACTACTACTAATAATAATAATAATAACAATAATAAGAATAATAATTATCATATTTCACTTTAGTTCTGACACACAAAAATACAGGCTGCAATACCAAAGCCCAGACTTTAACATCCCTCTATTTACATATAAACAAAGAATTCCATCTCACCAGTTCCACCTCTCGTTTGGCCTGGTGGAAGTTTTCGTCCAATGCCAAACACTGAAGGAAGACTTGCAGGGATTCATCTACATGACCCATTTCTTGGAGAATTTTTGCTTTCTGGAAATAACCCTGCAGGAGAGAGGCAGAGCGGAGAGAGCTTAGCGTCCAGTCACGCAGATGTTTTTGGGTTAATCTGACTGAGAGTCTAGTCAATGGTCTGAAGGCTAATAACAGAGGGAGACGCTGTGAGACGCAACAGCATTAATACACACTTGAATGACCCACATCCCTCAACCTGTCTGTATCTGCTGAGCTTATTTAGAAACATCCTGTATGCCTTACTCATGTGTTAAACTACATTTCCATAACAGGGTTTTCCACAACAACAGAAGAAACGAGAGCTAATTTAACAAACAGTGCTCAGGTGAGGTGGTGCTGAAATTCCCATTTAAAATAAATAATCAGATGGATGTTTCCCAGTCATGGGTTGCAGCTGGAAAGGCATTCGCTGCGTAAAACATATGCTGGATAAGTTAGTGGTTTATTCAGCTGTGGCGAACCCAGATTAATAAAGAGACTAATAAAAAATGAAATGAATCTAAATGAATGAATTCTTTCCAAACAGAGCTATATGGTGAATTTATATTCCTATCGCAATATAAATCGCAGCAAAATAAAATATCGCAATGTCAAGTTTTTCAAATATTACTAGCCTTACTTGGCACTTAATGCCATTATTTTCCTGCATAGGGGTATAGATGTTATAAAAACATTGTAGCAGTATAAATTGCAACTGACACTTATTTTTGTCAAAACATAAACATCAAAAGCAAATGATTGTTAAAATAAAACAAATTAAATAAAAATGTTGAACATAAACATATAAATAAAGCCTCGAATGCAAAGCTGGGTCTTAAATATACTAAAAAAAGTTCCTAAACAAATGATCCCCCTTTAAACACTTTGAAGAATTTCCTGGTCTTTAGAATAAATGTATTTATTTATTTATGTTTTCTATTTTTATTTCTATTATTTGTTTTTTGTACTCTTTGAATGTTACCAAGCCCTTCATGTCAAATGATAACATATTGATTAAAGAATATAACATAATGTATTCCCTCACTGTTAACTTTGATATATCTGGAAGCTTTTGTGTATCAAGAGGAAATGACCTTTTTGTATTAAGATGCACCTCTTTTGTATATTCCTTCTTTTAGATCTTGCCAAGCCTCTCATGTTAAATGATAGCATATGGACTGAACAAATATGGTAAACTCTGTTTTCTCACTGTTAACTCAGAAAGTCTGGAAAGATGTTTATTTTATTTTTATGTTGTTAGTTTTTTTTTCAATGCCATGGTATGGAAGAGGTAATGTACTACTTTAAATATTTATTTATTTATTAAGTTTTTGGATTTACAATTTAAAGTAAAAAGTTACATCTGTGTAAAAAAAATTAAATAAACTTATACAAGAACATAATGTTTGCATTTTTAATTATGTTTCAATAAAATAAAATCAGAGGTTAAAATGGTAACAAAGCAACACACTAGTCCAAAAAAAACAAAAACTAAAAAATGTTTTGGTGTGTAGATCTAAATGATTATTAAAAAGCGAAAAAAAAAAAGAGATTAAATTTTATTCACTTTAAAAAACACACACAAAAGCATTTTGCACATGCATTTTTAGTGGATCTTTCATAAATAAATGAAATAAACCCTTTTTGGTGGTGACCTAATGAGTGCAAACCTTTTTTTTTTCTTAAAAAAAAAACAAATGAAAATTAAATTAAATTTATGTTTCCACTTAAAACACATGAGGCTCACACATTAAGATTTACCTTTTATCCTGTCACATTATGATTAAACACTGACACTCAAACTTGACTATTCCACCTGTTTTTAAAGCAACAATCCAGCTAGTGTAACATTAACAAAAGCACACTGATGTTGCGTGAATAAGCCATCTGTGGTGGCTTGTGTTGGGAAAATTCAGACATACCTCTGGGAATGGGGAAACTGTCAGGCATGACTCCCAGATTTCCAAAGCCTGACGGTGATGCTTCAGTCCTCTGTGAGCCTCAGCATGGCAGATCTGCACCCACATATTACTGGAGCCTGGGAGAAACAGAGAGATAAAAAGAAACTGAGAAACCATGTAAAAACTCCAGCTTTAACTACTTTTAATTTAAAACAAGATACCGCAGGCAGAAATGCTGCTTTTCATGCACCAGTCAATAAAGAGATTTGGAGCTTTTTGCAATTTTTTTAGGCTATTTTGGTGTTTTAAATGTAAACAAAACAAGCGAAATAAACTCTTTAAAAGTGTTTGTCAACAGATTTCAGTTACAATACATATTTAAAAGGTATTTTTTTGCAAAAATTCCTCATGAAGGTTTTTTTTTTTTTTTTTTTTTACATAGGAATTGGACTGCACAATATTGGATAAATATAAAATTGCGCTATTTAGCTTTTCTGCAATATATATATTGCGATATAAGTATAATTTCACCAGGCAGCTGAAATAGCTCCATTTGGAAAGAATTCACTAATTTAGACTGATTTGGAATTAATCAAGGTGTGAATCACACATAAAATACAATAAAGAATAAAATTGCATTGATAAATACGAACAAGCAAAGAAAAACAATTATATTGAATGTGCTTTATGAATATTTTTTCTGAGGAGTTAAACAATATTTAGGTACAGAAAATGAATCATATGTAAAAAACACACCGTATAATCTACACTGTATTCAATTCAATTCATGTTTATTTGTATAGCGCTTTTCACAATATAGTGTCAAAGCAGCTTAACATAGTTTTAGTAAAGTCCAGATTTAATTTTATTTTAGATTTAACATTGTACATAGTTAAATAAAATAAATCTTTACTAAATTTAGAAATGGGGATGCAAAGTCACAGGTGTTAAAAACACACGCAAATAATAAACTTTTATTATGGTTAAACTCCACAAACCTCGTGTTTTGCGAACTTATGGCCAATTATCATTATGCTCAAATACAATCCCAACATATAAACTCTCAACATTGCATATGTAATGTAACTATTGAGAGATGGTGAGATAGCCAGACAGACAGACAGGATGGGTGAGTGTATAAATGTATAAAAGACTCCTCAAATCCCTTCTTTAAAAACTTTTTTCTCTAATATGTCAAAAAAATAATAATAAAAGGAATTTTCAGTCTGACTTCAATCAATGCTCAGATGCTTGTGATAGAAAAGTATGAAAATAAGCACATATTTAACAAAACAATGCCTTATTTGATTAAAATGTAACTTTTTATACAGCTGCAATGCAAAATGAGTTTGAAAATCTTAATGTAATCGAAAATAAAAAAAATAGTAATAACTCTTAGCTGTTGCCTTTTTTTACCCTATCCAGCTGCACTATCTTGCCTCTACAGTCTGACAGGCGCTGTGTCATTAATTTTCATACTCGTGATCCCCGAGATTTTATGATGTGTAAGATGAGAAGATCAACGAGAGACATTTGTGAACCGACATGCCACAAGGGAACATGAACTGAGTGACACTGCAGGGCTGCCTTGTTTTTTTCCTCCAGCAGGGTAAATGAGGACACAGCAGTGAAGATGAGACTGCCGCACCATGATTATACTGTACCTCTGATTTGCTCAATGATGTTACTTATCTGGAACACACACTTTTATCAAAACATGTGCCCAGAACACAGTGTGATTACTAAATAAAAAAGTCCTTCCAATTTTAACTACACAAGATGACCTTATATATATGTTATGCAACTCAATGTTTTCTTGCCTGCCACTTGATTTTTATGAATCAACAATGCATTTAAATAATAATAATAAGAATATTTTGATGTGAGAAAAGTTATATAAACTCATATAAAAAGGACAAAGATTATCTCTTTTAAATCAGGAATCACCAGCTGATGTAATGTAATACTGTTTATAACCCGAATAGAGGAATTTGTCGACATCCAGACATTTGGAATAGAAATTCAAGGTTCTCCATAACATAACATACTGAACTTAATGTGTCATGGTTATATATGGGTATTCAGGATCTAAATAGGACAAAATAAATGAATGAAAATGAATATAAATTATATATATTACACACACACACATATATACACACACAGACACACGCACGCACACATACGTGTGTGTGTGTGTGTGTGTGTAAATATATATATATATATATATATATATAGTCTGCAGTCTTTTCAGTCCAGCTGCTTTTGAATTTTGGTATACAACTTGCACTTCTATTACGCCTTTTGATAAACTTAGTTGTTAGCATAAACACCCAAAAATACACTCATAAAAGGTAAAAACTGATAAAAAACGTTAAATACAAAGTAACAATTCATGCCTGTTTTGACATTGCAACCTTTTTCAGCTGTTGTTTACCAAAAGCGTTTTAGGATTTAGGTTACTATTCAACCAACAGGACATGACAGCCCTCACGCATCGGTCTCGTGAATAAACAATAGAACATTATGGCTATAACGCACTGTTCTACTTGTTATTATAAAACTCACTTTGATTCAGATTACAAAACACTCTCTGTGTCACGACCTGCCTTACACAACGCGCGGCGAGTGCGCATGCGCCATGCGAACACGTTTTGTAATGCAGCCACTCTCCTGTTACATGACCGCGGGGGGCGGGGCTAATATGTAAGTTACAGCTGGCCATCCAAATGTTGGTCAGTGGAACTCCTTAAACCTCCTATTAATAATATAAAAACTTGACCCAATTACCCTTCCGACAGTGCATATATTTTACAATAATAATAACAACAACAATAAAACAGGAGGATGCGAACTTACCATAGTCTAATAACCGACTCGTTAGTGCAATCGCCTTGTCGTACTGTTTACTCTTCAACAGGCTTTCAGCTTCCCCTAAATATTTAGTTCTTTTGACGTCTTCTGGAAACCACTTGTCTAAAAGTCCACACAATATCACATTCAGCCGGGGTTCACCTGGCCTCCTCCTAATGTCCTCGTTGCACACTTTGCATTGAGAAAAAGTGCTATGCTGTAAACATCTCCTACAATACGTGTGTCCACAGGTCACCGTCACGGGCTCGGCTATGAAACAGTGGCAACCAGGGCAGTCTAATTCACAGTCCTGTGTCCAGTTCGGCTCACTTCTCGCTGGCGACTCCTCTGATTTCTTCTTGAAGTTGCGCAGGACGCATCCGACCAAACTGCTCAGCTGCTCCGGCCTGACAGGACCGTATCTGAGAGCCATGGCGAACATATCGACAGCCTCTTTGAGACGGTTTTCCGACGCTAAAGCTTCAGCTTTGAGCAAAACAAGTTGACGGTGATCGACATGCTCGTCCACGTCCCAGTCGCCTTCAGTTTCGGATGGTATAAAAAACCGTCCTCTCTCCTCCAAAGCGTAGTCTTGGTCTAGTCTCCGCAACGACATGTTTGCGAGCGACGCCCACTGAACTGGCAAAATATAATAAATGATAAAAATGTCAAAGCATTCTTACGGTTAACAGTGTAGAAGAACGTAGTGACTCGCGCTCCTAAACATACTGGCGTTTTGTCCGCGAGTTACGTAAAAATACACTCACGTGACCGTGAGCGAGCGCGTCCATTGGCAGCCGAGGCGCATTACAAAACATGAAGCTCGGAGTTTTGTAACGAGCAATTCGGGACTATAGCGAGAAAAAGGGCTGATTTGAAAGAATGCATGCATATAAATCCAGAGAAGTCAGCGTGTCATCAGACTATCATGTGTTATTCACTTTTATGCTGGGCGTTTTGGTGGAAAAAACATTTTAACTGACCGGACATCGTGTGTGATATAACATCAGGATTTGTTTTGCGTGTTTCACTGATGTGTATTTGTTTTGAGAAAAGAGATCAATGATTTCCTGTGTTAACTAAATGTGTTTGTGTGAATTGTCTAGGGGCCTGGCATATAGGTTGAATGTCTGGGTCTGTTACTCAACAGTGTTAAGTCTGTCGGAATGTCGGTAGTCATGTAATATATAGGTCAACACACACATACGTAATTCCATATTGCACAAGAGATAAGTCTGATAACATTTTCCCATTGCAAAGCATCAGTGGCCGATAGATATGCGTAATTCAGGGTTGGGAAATCATTTTTATGCGATCACCACTTTATTAAGTTAAGCACAATGTGTGATGCTTGCAGTGTCATATGACCTTGAAGAATCAGTCTAGTATGCTGATTTGCTGTGATTTCAGGATTGAATTATTTGAAATAAAATCTTTTGTAACATTATGAATGTATTTTTTCTTTCTTTTGAAAAAATGTTATATCAGTGTTGACTAAAAGAGCTGGAGTTTTTTTAAATAATATATTATTACTTCAACAAAAATATGAAGCAGCCACTTATCAAAAAGTGTATATAGATCAGTGGTAGCATATGAGGTGCCGTATAGGATTTAAATCAAACAATTGCTTATCAACACATACATAAAACACGTGTATATACACCTATAAATTACTTGCATATACACCTATACTACTGGATGTTCAAAACAACATGGATGAAACTTTTTGTATATACATATAAACTTGACGCATGAATACACCCACATACACACGCACATACATATAAACTCGATCCTCACATAAACACCCACATTAACACACGCACATACATATAAACTTGCTGCATGCAAACACACCTATACACACTCGCATACACATATAAACTTGATCTATGCATATACAACCATAAACTCTCACATAAGAATATAAACTTGATGTGTGCATAAACACCCAAATGACACTTGTGCAAACATAAAAAATAAAATTCACAAACATATATACAGTTAGTTGTGTATATACATATATGCAAGTGATTTCATATGTGTGTATGCATGAATTTTCACAGTAAAAGGAAGTTATTTCACTTTAAAAGGAAGTCGTTTCATTTCAACGTAAAAGTCCTTTGAGTGTAATGAACAAGATTATTATTTGTCATGAATCAGGTTATTGCAAACCTTAAGAAACAGAAATAATGTGATTAATAGAGGAATTACATCTGCTGAATTATGAAAATAGATTATGCTAATTATAAATAATAAATAAATAAAAAGGTAATGCAAAGGAATGCTCCTGCAAAATTAAAGGTTTATTATGCAATTAAATGATTGGAAATGTTATTATGGTTTAATAAATATAAAGTTGCTTAAGTAATCATTTTGAATAAAATATGTTTGTCTAATATTAGTTTTTTATGTTTGTTTTATTATTGGTGTCACTATTCGTCAAGGGTTATGATACACACTTATGTCCAGTAGGGGGCAGGAATGCACTTAAGTGGGTTTTCCTGTCACCAATAAACAGGCTAATGCACCAAAATGCTGGATGCCAGCTGCTGTAAAAATATAAGTAGTAGTTATTAAACACAAAAGGAGTTTCCAGATAATATATATAGCTTTTCCATGGGGGTTAACTTGACCAACATGATGAGCAGAGACTTTTAATCAGCGTTTTTTTTTTTTTTTTTTTTTTTGTCTATGCTGAATAATTAACAATCAAAATGATACCAAAATCTTGCAATTTTGACACCCACATTGTAAAAACATATAAAAAGCATAATAATTATAAAAATGTAAAAAACAAAACAAGAAGACTATAGGCTACATTAACATTTGCAATAGAAAAGAGGAGTTTAGTTTGAGTATATATTTATATTTATAGTTCTGGTTGCTTTTCAAACGTCCTTTAAGGGTTCTATCTGTCCATTTATATTTGTGTATGTAATTACCTAATTAAATGAAAAGGTTTTAAATAAAAATATTTCTTATTTTGAATAGTCTATTTATATATATACTAATATTTTATATAACATATGTTCATAATTTAACATATTTAATCCCTCTATTAATCACATTATTTCTATTTTATAAGCTTTGCAATAACCAGATTCGTGATAAATGTTTGTGAATTTTTTTATTTTATTTTATTTTGTGTGTTTGCGCGAGATGTTGTAGGTGTGTTTGCATGCAGTGAGTTTGTGTATGTGCGCGTGTTGTTGAGGGTGTATATGCATAGACCGAGTTTATATGTATATGCGAGTATGTATAGGTGTGTTTGCATGCTGCGAGTTTATATGTATGTGCATGTAAATGTGGGTATTTATGCGAGAATCGAGTTTATATGTATATGCGAGTGTGTATAGGTGTGTTTGCATGCAGCAAGTTTATATGTATGTGCGTGTGTTATTGTGGGTGTTTATGTGAGGATCGAGTTTATATATATGTGCGTGTGTATGTGGGTGTATTCATGCGTCAAGTTTATATGTATATACACAAGTTTCATCCATGTTGTTTTGAACATCCAGTAGTATAGGTGTATATGCAAGTAATTAATAGGTGTATATACACGTGTTTAATGTATGTGTTGATAAGCAAAGATTGATTTAAATCCTATACGGCACATCATAATAAAGCATCAGAGTACATGGGGTAATAATGGTTGAGCAGTAATTTACCATTTATTATCACAGTAACTATCTGTAATGGGTACATAAAATAAATTACTGTAATTTATTCTTTGCACTACAAAATTTCATACAAATCCTGCTCCTTTTACTGTAAAATACTGTTTCATTTTATTACAGCAAAACACTGGCTATTTTACAGTTATTTACTGCATAATCTACAATAAGGGTTAACAGTGTATGTTAAAGCCTATAATCACTATAGCCTGACAGATGAACAAATAAAATTAAAACGTTATGAATAAATAGTATATCTCGTAAGATTCTGCATGATCCAATATAGTTTTATTTAATACATTTTTTTACGTTTTCATTACATTTCGGGCATGAAATCCACGCTAAATCCACCCTTCTGATGGGATCAGTTTAATCCAGGTTTTTTGGATCAAAGTGATCCAGATCCTACAAAAAAGGTCTGAAAAACCCAAACTATCCAAATCAAAACCAAGATTGGATTACGTGATCTAATCTGATTATGTAATCCGTTTTTTCTTTTGAAAAACCCATTTTCAAGATTTGATCCAATCCCTTATCCAAAATCATAGTGGATTACTTTTGAAAAACCGGGCCCAGGAGATTGTGAAATCCGGGTTTGCTGCTCGGATTTGCTTTCACATGACATTGCCATTTTCACAATTTTTTTTAAATTTATTTATGTTTTTTGTATTTGCACAGAAAATAAAAAAATTAAAACAAAATTTTAAAATTAGCAATTTAAAGCCCACATATTGTCATTGTTTAAGTATTTATGGCCAAAAACTCTAAACATGATATAAACATATCTAGATGTATTATGTTTGAATTGACCTATGCACAGTTATTCAACTTGCGAAGGGAAAAAAAACAAACGTTTTTGTGTGTGTTTGAAAAACATCTAACTGCTTATAAGGTGGCATGGAGGCTCAGTGGTTGGCACTGTTGCTGCACAGCAAGGTGGTCGCTGGCTTCCTAGCGGGACCAAGCTGGGTCACTTGGCGTTTCTTTGTGGAGTTTGCATGTTCTCTCTATGTTCATGTGGGTTTCCTCCGGGTGCTCCAGTTTCCCCCACAGTACAGGTAGGGGAAGGACATCTGCTGTGTAAAACATATACTGGATAAGTTAGCAGATCTTTCCGCTGTGGCAACCCCTGATTAATAAAGGGACTAAGCCGAAGGAAAATGAATGAATGAATAATTATCTATAAATCAAGTCATCAAGTAGCCATATAGATTTGCACTGCCTACCCAAATTTAGCCTTCTTTTGGCCAGACGTTTAGAGTCTATTAGACAGCATTTAAATGTCTCATTGCTTGGTGAGATGTCTGAAGAACAAATACATGTGGCAGGGAAGTGTCTGTTATTTTAAATATTCATTTTCAGAGTGGAAATATGATGTCATTTTACAGCTTAAAATGATGTTTATCATCAGCTGTTTTGTGTTGGTGACTTTTTTGACACGTTTATTGTGTCAATATGCAGCCTCTAGTCATCTTTTTAACTGTAAGAATAGCATGACACAAGAAATGCATTGCATACTTATCATACATGACAGAAGATTCACAGTACTATGTAAATATGTGCTCTCCTAGAATTGTTTTTGTCAAATAATACTCTTCACAAGAGTTCAATTAATGCATATGTTTTATTGTTTGTTTTGAGAGGAGCCACCTCCTGCTCAAGATTTCCTGCCTCAAACAGCCTGAAACGTTCCTCTCAAGACAATAACATGTAGGGTGGCTGTTCTTCAGTTCTCCAGGTTGGTGTCCTAAAATAAAAACAGCAATTAGTTTATCAAAAGTCAATCCAAATCTAATATTCTCTAAGCTAACATCCATAGTCTTGTGTTTGAATTAACCCTCCCAAAATACTCTGCTTAGGCTTCATACCTTGAACCATTTGTGGAGAAGAATCTCTTTTAATTGAATCCGCTGCTCTGGCTTTTGCTGGAGACAGCAACTAATCAACTGACAGCATTCTGTGAAAAACAATTGAAACATCTGTTTACCTTGAACTTCACACCTACTTTGATGTTGCATGTAAGAGTCTTTGAAATAAAGAGCTTACCATCGGACAAGCCAGCTTTGGAGAAGTTGTTCTCATTGATCATGTGCAGTTCTTGAGGGTTGGGAAAGTCCTCACACACCAATACGAACAAGAGGATGCCAAGGGACCAGACTGTTGCCGGCTTCCCATTGTATTCACCCGTTTCCTCAAACTCTGGGGGGCAGTACTCAAGGGTGCCTAAAGGTAAAAGATTTTTGCATCAATTAGCATTTGTTGCTATAAATTCAGAATATCGTTTTTCACAGCTTAAGGGTTAATACATACCGGCAAATGTATCGTAGGGTAATTTCTTGAGAAGGTCTCCACACCCAAAGTCTATTAATTTGACTTTATGTGTCTCCTTGTTGATTAGTAGATTTTCAAGTTTGATATCGCGATGTAGAACACCATTGCGGCAGCACATGTATGCAGCTTGAGTTGCCTGCTGCATAACAACACGCGCTAAACCTTCACTTATGGATCCTCCATAGCTTTCTGTGAAAGCATATAGGTCCTCACAGGGTGAAGGGTATTCCAACACCATTATATAATGGTCCTCGTGGTCCTGCCAGTCCAGAAGCTGGATTATTTCTGGAACGCTGGATACTCCATGGGCGAGGATGAGAAGTGCAACTTCAAGAGGAAAGGGCTCTGAATGACCCGACTACAGGAAATACATTTTTTATGATGTTTAGATAGATATATCTTTTATAGATTATGAATTGAATCATAATTTCACAAAATTTCGACAACAGTAGCTTGTCTTATGAGAAATCACTTACGATACATATGTATTCCACATCTTCCGTCTTTGTGACAAATTTCACTGCCACCTAATAAACAAGAAATAAGCAAAGTGTAAGTAAGAATGATTGTACAGCTAACATGTTGTATTTGTTACTATTTATCCAATCCAGAAAAATGAAAGGCACCTTTAAGTCATCGTGTAGACGTCGCCCCTTGTACACAGTTCCAAAGGATCCTTCACCCAGCATGTCATCGATCAGATAGTGGCAAGAATTGATGACTATTAAAACAAAACCAAGGTTAAGTAATATGAAATATCAACCAGTGTAAAACAGGACAAAATGTTTTACTTAATCAGTGTACATTTTTTGAAAATGAGGTCTGAATGTTGAATAAATAAGCTTTAGTTTTACCTATTGCCAAAAATGTATCTTGTGCAACTTAAGACTGGTTTTGTGGTCCAGGGTCACAAATGGAAACATTAAAATGGCCTGATATAGTATTGCAGGAGTGTGTGTGTGTGTGTGTGTGTGTGTGTGTGTGTGTGTGTGTGTGTGTGTGTGTGTGTGGTGTGTTTAAGGGACAGTAAACTTACCCTGACTTGTCATCTTTCCATTATTCTCTATTTGTTTTGAAACAGAGGCCTGTGTGCAGACTGGAGCTTGACCACCATTGATGCTCCAGTCTGACGTTGTGTGCTGTGAAGTCTGAGGGAAATTGGCACTCCCCTCGGAAGCATCGGGGACTGGAATCTCAGTGGCATTGTTACAATCAGAAGTGGATGAGTGAAATGGAGGCTGGGTGACATCAGTACTCCAGACTGACACTTTGTGTACCGGAGTCCGGGTAGCGTCAGTACTCCAATCTGATGTGGTGCGTGTTGGAGTTTTGATCTTATCAATGCTCCAATCTGACATGGTGTGTGCTGAAGTCTTAGTGAAATCATTGCTCCACCTTGATGTGGTGCGTGCTAGAGCCAGGCCAGAATCAATGCTCCAGTCAGATAAGGTGTGAGCTAAGCTTTCGGCTTCATCACAATAGTCAGGACTAAGCAATGGAGTCTGGCTGATGTCAAAGTTCCAGTCGAATGAAGGCTGAGCAGTATTGCTGCTCAGAACTGGAGAACGGAGGACATCAGGTTGAACAGTAAGATGTTTCTTTACTGTTGGATAGACTTCAGGGTCACTGGCTGAAGGTTCCTGAAGATTGAGGTCTACAGTATGAATGACCTGCTGTAGAGATCCGTCACCTGAAGAGGAGGAAGGTTGTACTTCAGGTGGTGCTGCAGTTGTCCCAGTGTCCTGAGCCTCTCCTTCAACCTGAAGTGTACTATTTTTTTCAGCAGCTCTCAGACAGGAGAACCACCGCCACAACTTGAACCTTCTTTTCTTTTTACGGTTGGCCTCCTTTCTCTTTTTATTTTTCCCCTCACTCGCACTATCTTCACTTACGCCAACAGGATGTTTATGAGCTTCCACCAAATTGGTGAGCTGTGGCGGTGCATCGTGATGGTAAACGTGCACACGCTCAAAATCATTGTTCGCCTTTTTGCAACGACAATTACGTTGACCCATCGCTCAACTAGTTTAACCGCAGAATGCCAAAGTCAGAGATGCATTCGCATTCTCTTAGCTATGATGTCACCGTTTCGAACATTCACATTCAATTCTAAATGTGACGCAGGCTGGGCCGTTTCTGTGGAGCGTTTCTGTGGCCATTTGAAAGTGCCATATTGTTTTTGCATAAAGTATATGCCTTATAATCAATCAATAACCGATCACACATACTCATAGCCTGTATGCAAGCGGCTGCCCGGTAAACAGGCTAAACTTGTAAAACATAGACCAGCGTTACGCCTTCATGAAATTAATTCTGCGTCAGTTTTACAACAAACTAAAACTCGAAATTAATTCAAATAAACAGTTGTAACAATAAAAAATCATTAAAAACATTTGTTTTTCACTATTTTACTTCCACTATTATACATTATATTACATATATTTATTTATAACAAAAATCGAATGGACCTAAATTTACCAAATGATTTAAAACGTCTGAATCTCTTTAATATAGGATTGTAAAATGCTAGACACTTCTATTTACTTCGTTATTATTCCTTTTGCACAATTTATCAATCAATTTATCATTATCTATCCGCATCTGCAACATGGATATTCGCACCCTAGGAAAAAAAACCTATAGAGGACGAAACCTTCAAAAACTATAAATAAATAAGTAAACAAATAAATAAATAAATGAATAAATAAATTCATAAATTCCTGCATAAATAAAACAATAAATAAATACATTGCATATTTATTTGCTTTATTTATGCAGGAAATTGTTTTTTACTCATTTACTCAAAAACTTTTTACTCATTTATTTTTATAATTGCTTTTTTTATTTATTTAATGTTTTATGTAGTAATTTATATTTTCTTGTTTATTTATGCTTTGTTTTATTTATGCAGCATTTATTTACGTATTTATTTATATATTTTCGTTTTTATTCATTTTTATTTATGAAGACATTTATTTATTTGTTTATTTATCAGTCGTATTTATTTATTTATAAAAAATAATTATGCCTGCATTTATGGATTTATTTACTTATTTATTTATTTGCGTATTTATTTATTAATTATTTTATTTATACAGGAATTTATAGATTTCAATGCTTATTTATGTATATATGCTCGTATTTTGTTATTCTTTATTTTATTTTATTTTTGCAGAAATGTATGGATTTATTCTCCAATTTCGTTATATATTTGCGTATTTATTAATTTTTTTATTTATGTATGAATTTATGTATTTATTTACTTTGTCTTTTATTTTTATTTTTTTTTTTTGCGTATTTATTCATTTATTTATTTATTTATTTTTGCCGGTTTCGTTCTTCGTATAAACTCAGCATTCTTTTGATTTTGGATGCATGCTTTTTTTTTCTATTGACATAATATTTTTGCTCCTAATTTATTCATTCATTCTTTATTGTACTGCGTGCGTGTGTATATGTTTCACTGACAGTGTTGAGGTTGACATTTTGTATGGGTAAATTCTTTAATGAATGTATAAATGAATGGTTTTACTCGACTCTAATAAGTATGGCTGATATTTTAATCCTCATGCTTAAAATATCATCAGTGACTTGCACTTCTATTTTTTGATAGGCTACATGTTTATATATATTGATAAATTGTGTATATCCAATACCACAGTGACACATTTATATTCTAGCAATCTCGTATTTTATTATTCTCTTGACGAACTTTTTTTTTTTTATTTAAACTTCAAAAAACAAACAGGCATTTTCAACTTCCATCGTTAAACATATATATCATTATATCCAAGCAGCTTATAATAAACAAAACAGTACAAATTAATAATAACATAAAAATAAACCTTAAATAATACAAAGGAAAATACATTACATTCAGAGGGGTCAGTCCATATATGTTGACAAAAGCTTAGAGAGCTTTAAGGCACCTTTTGTTTTTACTTGTTTTATAGATTTATATAATATATTGAAATAATTTGTAAATGCTTTGAAACAAGGAGAAACTTTAACAAATCTACATTTGTGTACATAAAATTTTGCTACAATCGACATATTATTACATAGAAATTTAACTTCCTTGTTTTTCATAAAAATGCCAAATTTCACAATGTGATAGTCAAACGCAGGTGTTACATTTTTAGTTATCAACCACTAATACAATCTGTCCCAAAAGGATTTGACACTGGAACAACTATAAAAAAGATGTTCATGGGATTCTATATCTTTCAAGCAAAAAATACAAGCATTACTGTCTAAATGAAATCTTATTCTAAGAAATTCGTTACATGGATAGATGTCATTAATTGTTTTGAAATGTACTTCTTTCATTTTAGGTAACAAGGGAAATGACAGGTATCTTTTTCTAATATCAATAGTGTTCGCTTTAGAAAATCTCTCAGATAAAACTTTTCTTTTAACAGGAAGAGGAAAATATTCTTTTGTCAGTAGTGATCTCAAGACCTTGTTGTTACGTTTAATATCCAAAAAAGAATAATTATTTATAAACAAATCAACTAGTGTAGGTATTACAGAGGAGTATTGCACTATACCTTTAACTAAGTTCCTCAAAGCTACATTAATAGCTTTGACAACCAAAGAGAATTCTCTATATGCACAATTACAATTGAATTTTAACCTAAAATGATCATAGCTCAACATATTACCATCATCATCCATTAAATGAATTACATTCCAAATTCCTTTGCCAAACCAGTCTTTAAAAAATAAAGATTTCCTGTCATGTAGAAAAATACACCTGTTATTCCAAATGATAACATTATGTGGAGTAAAATTGTGCTTGTACAACATCTTCCAATATAGTAACACTTCTGCATGAAAACCAGACAATTTAAATGGCAATTTTAGTAAGTCAAAATCACATTTTAGAAGAAAAGAAATTCCTCCCATCCTTTGAAAAATATGAAAAGGGATGCTAAACCATAAAGACGGTTCACCTTTAACAAAGCTTTGTAACCATTTTAACTTCATTACTCCATTTATAACGCCAAAATCACTAACATTCAACCCCCCTTCCTCTGATAACTTTACCAAATCATTTTTTCGAATTAAATGTTGCTTATTGTTCCAAATAAACTCATAATGAACTCTGTTAATTTGTTTAATACATCTTTCTGGTACACCTAAGGAATATGCTGGATAGATTAATCTTGATATTGCTTCCATTTTTGTTAATAATATTCTCCCCAAAATTGAAATATTTCTTTGTAACCAGCTACTTAATGTTTTTTATTTTTCTGTACAACAGTATGAATATTATTATTTTCCCTGTCCCTAAAATTTTTTGTAATAGTTATTCCCAAGTATGTTATTTAGCTTTTAATTGGGATATTATACAATGAGTTTTATGTATTATTGTGAAGAATCTCACATTTTTTCAAATTTAAATGTAACCCTGAAGCATTAGAAAACAATGATATAGACTTTAAGGCAATCGGTATTTGATTAGAGTCCTTCAGAAATCAAGTTGTATCATCAGCTAATTGTGTAATTACCAAGGATCTACTTTTAATGGCTTAATATTTTAATATACAGTGCTAATAATTCGGCAGCAAGTAAGAAAGAAGGGGGCTGACTGGATCTCTCTGTCGTATTCCCCTTCTGTTATCAAATCTCTTTGTAGTACCCGATTGAAGTAAAACAGCACTTGTTATTTGTTATATTGTCAACATTGAAAGAATATTAATAAATTTTGTGCCAAACCCAAAATATTGTTGAGACTGAAAAACAAAAGGGTGTTCAAGTTTATCAAAAGCTTTTAGAAAATCCAGAAATAGTATTATACCATCATCCTCTATCAAATGTGAATAGTCTAATAAATCTAACACCATGCGAATGTTATTATGTATTAGTCGATTTGGAAGAAACCCAGATTGTGTATCACTAATAATTTTACCTATACCACCTTTAAGTCTACTAGCTAATGCATGAGTGAATATTTTGTAATCAATGTTAAGTAAAGTAATTGGTCTTAAATTATCAATAAGAGTGTTGTCTTTTTTGGTTTAGGTATGAAAATAATTATAGCCTGTTTCATTGTAGTTAGTAGTGTATTACTTTCTAAACATTCTTTTAGTGCTTTAAAGAGCATTTCTCTCATATCATTCCAGAAAAAAGATAAAAGTTAGTTGCAAGTCCATCTTGACCTGGTGATTTACCTAAAGCCATTTTTTTAATAGCAGCATCAAGTTCTTCAATTTTTAAATCAGAGTCACATATCATTTTAAAATCTTCATCAATTTTAGGAATAAAATTATAGAATTTTTGAAGAAATTCTCAGAAATTTTCATGGAAAATGATGATGAATATAGGCTTTGATAAAATTTAAAAATCTCATTACTTATTTCTTTTGGATCAGTTACAATTTTATTATTTAGATTTAAGGTGGTAATTGCATTTCTGTCTACTTTTTTCTAATCTACTAAAATAAGAGCTGTTTTTTTACACCAACTTCCATCCATTTTGCTCTAAATCGTATATATGCCCCTTGTGCCATATTTAAGGAGAAATCGTTCAATTTAGTTTGTAATCTAATCATTTCCTCTTTAATAGGTTCTAATAATAAATCCTTTTTACAACAATCATTAATGTCTTTTATCAGCTGTTTTTCTAATTCTTTTTGCTTATTACACAATATTTTACCATAATTAATTGAGTACATTCTCACTTTATCTCATCATTTGTCATAATTGAATATAAGATTTTTTTAACCATGTCACAAAAATATTCTTCTTTTAACAAGTTTGCATCAAATTTCCAATATTTTTGCCTACATGTTCTTTCAGAGCCTGGGATCAGTGTGACAGTAATTACACAATGATCAGTTGTAGGAGCTGCAGAGATTTTAGCTTGCAAAACATATTTAAAAATTTCTTGGGTTACCAACCAAAAATCTATTCTTGTTTTACAATTTCCATTGGGTCTAATCCATGAATATTGCCTTACTTCAGGGTTAACATGATTCCAAACGTCTATTAGGGAAGTATTAATACAAAAATTTGTAATACATTCATTTCATAATAACCGTATTTTGTTGAAAATCTATCCATCCATTCATCAGGGACACAATTAAAGTCACCAACATATTTTCAGTTGGGAAAAATGTTTTCAACTCTCTAATAGTTTCTGAAATGCATTCCAGCTAAATTCTCTTTTTATATTGACCATTATATCCGTAAACATTTAGAAGAATCAGTGGAGTACCTTCAATCATCAAAACTGCAGCAATCCAGTGTCCATCCTTATCTTCTTTCACTTTAACTACTTTACCAGGACAGTTATTCAAGCATATGACTACGCCAGCAGATCTATAGTTCCATGACTAAACAGTATAGTATCACCCCATTGGTTTCTCCAGAAGGTTGAGTCCTCTGCGCTGGAATGTGTCTCTTGTAAAAATATACATTGTGCCTGTTGACTTTTGCAAAATAAGAATATTGCTTTTCTCTTAATACTGTCTTTAAGTCCCCTGGTATTCAATGAAATAAAATAAAGTTTAGAACAAAATTTAAACATACTATTTACTTACACTACAAGTAGCTTTAACAAGCTAACAAATAACACCTCACAATATCTGTGTGGAGAAAAAAGAAAAAGATTAATTCAGTTGGTCCTTCTAAATATAATCACGTGTCTCATTTGTCTACATTAACAGCTCCCATGAACTATTTAGTATACATTTTAAGCGAAACATACTTAAAACAGTGTTTTCCTGTATTCACAAACAGCCGAAAAATAAAAACTGGGTGAAATGTTTACAGTATACTCACCAGAAGTGTCCTGCAACTGCAGCCACGAGAAAATGCCATAGCCTGAACAGTAAGTCAGGTTGGGAGCAGGTGCAGGATCAGACAAAAACTCTATTGTACTTAAAGTTATTCATCCAATAAACTTTGTCTACAAAAAAGTAGAATTCGCTTAAAAGGTTATAGTAATGACCTAAATATAAAATTATTTAAGTACTTGCACTTACAGGCTCACAAAACAGTAAAACACCTTTTTTTGAGCTGTTGACGGTCGTATATGTGTCCCACACTGCTAAAAACACTATTAGGACACAAATATTTCACTAAAAAGTGAAAATTGTTTGTTTTCGCCTAATTTCGAGCAAATTTATACTTCCAGTTAGAAACTAATTTTTTAAGCTGCGTCACAGTCATGAGATCTTAGCGTGTAATCTAGTGTGTAGACTTTATGTCTGTACCTGGGAGTACCTTGTGACGTCTCTGAGTGTGCTGCATTCATTCATGAGAGACTTGGTTCAAACCAATCAGCGCGCTCTATTGTGTATGCCGTGCAACTTCATTAATATGAAAGCTAGCTTACAAGACTGTTTGTACCTGAAACAGTGTTCAGACGGCAGATAGACGCCATGTTGGGTTGCCAAAAGAAGTGGGAAAAGAATAAGATTTGTTTTGGAGATACGGGTCGTGATTTTATAATGTGCTGCAACAAAGGTTTTGTTTTAATTTTCCAGCTGTAAGAGCGCAATTGGACTCACGTGTGGATCAGTGCATGCGACACGCGGCAGAAATACGTTTGCTCTGAAAATTTTTTACTCGAGAGCTTTTTGCATCTGGGCCCGGTTTTTCAAAAGGTTTAATCTGGATAAAATTGATCTGGATTTAGTAATCCTGTTTTTGCAATCCGTGATCACGTAATCCAGCTTACTTTTTGAGCCAGTTTTTCAAAGCAACATTGGATTGGATCATTCTGATCCGGATAGGAACTTTTTAGGATCACTAAATCTGGATTACCAGTGTTCAATCACAATGTAGATGGATAGATAGGCCTATGTAAAGAGCAACAAGTAGAATAGCCAGTGTGGGGTAAATATAAATTTATTTTTATTTGAAATGAAAACTAAGAAAATTTTATAAATAATAAAATAATTATAATAATAAATAATAAAAGCAAGAAAAACCCCACCCCATCCTCTTCCAGCAGTCCGCTCATCTGAGATCTACAACACTGTACATTGAGGATATTTATAATACGTTTCAAATTGCCATTGCCATTCTTTGCATTTTTTTTTTGTTATTCTGTAATCATTGCATGCATCACTAATAAATATTCTAAACACAAAAACATTTTCCATTGTGATGAATATATATATCAATTAGTAACAGAATAAAATGTACCGTTTTTGGTAAATTTTGACAGCTGTTTGGGGGATTGTTTTATGAGGCCAAACTCTTTCTATTTTGCTGTAGGCCTTTACTGAAAGGCTAAATACACTGTTAGACCTTACCGGGTTGATTTTACAGTAGAATACTGGCAACACTGTTGCCAGCCACTCACTGTAAAAGTTCAGTTACAGTAAGTAACTGGCAACAGTGTTGCCAGTTAATTACTGTAACTGAACCATTACAGTGAGTGGCTGGCAACAGTGTTGCCAGTTATTTACTGTAACTGAACCAATACAGTGAGTAGCTGGCAACTTTGTTGCCAGTTAATTACTGTAATAGAGCAGCAGTGGTAACTAACTGGAAACTGTGTACAGTTAATTACTGTATTGTAGTGTTACAAATCACAGCATTATACTGCAAACACATTAATAGTATGTAATATTTAGTTATTGTAGTGTTACTAAAATTAATCAGTATTCTTAGCTGTTATTAAAAAAAATAGAAGGCATAACATTTTTCAGACAAATTTATTTTATTGTTTTGGCACCAAACAAATAAAAAACAGAAAAAGTATAACAAAATTAAGAAATCAGCAGATATAATTTTGTCTTGAAGATTACAGGTCTGCACAGTAAGGCTGCAGTCACATTAACGTTTGAGCATGCGAAATTCTGTCATACTGCACTGCGAAGTGGAATTAAACAACGCGAGTAGTGGAATTCAACAAAATAATTAGAGATTGAAAAAGCAAGCCAGAGAGGTCACGTTTTGATCTTTGATTGGTATCAAGCAATCACATGATGTGATTTTGCATGTCAGCGTTCTCCAAGCTTGAACTTTCCAATGCTGCAAATTATGAAATTTGTCGCATGAGCTATTATTCCAGGTCTGCAGTACTCACATGCGTATGAATCGAAGTCTATAGGGAGAAAAGTGCAGTGTGACCGGGACTTTAAGCTGTTACTCTAATTAAACACACCTGATCAAACTAATTAAGGCTTGTTAGAAATCTACAGGTAATGTTGAAGCAGGGTGGGTACTAAATTCTGCTGCTGCAGTTCTCCAGGAACTTGGAGTTTGACCCCCATGGTATATAGCAGGAGTGCTCAATCCGGTTCCTGGATATCTACCTTCCTGCAGATTTCAGTTGCTACCCATATCAAACACACCTGCCTGTAATTATCAAGTGGTGTTTAGGTCCTAATGAATTGGTTTAGGTGTGTTTGATATGGATAGCGACTGGAATCTGCAGGAAGGTAGATCAGCAAATGAACAGCAAAAAACACGACATAATTATTTTAAATTTTAAAGTTTTAAGTAATTAAAAACTGTGTTAAATCTCAATAAAAAGTTTAAAATAATTATAAAAAATAAAAATAAAGTTGGCAACATCGAAAAACCAAAGGATCCAATCTTTTATTGTTATAATTATCTCATGACAACAAACTTTTATTGTTTCTAATATAAATTCATAGGTGGAAACACTGCTCTGAAAAATACTTGGCAACAAACTCACAACCTGTGACCTGGGGTCCGTTCTTCGTACGTGGATTACTCAGTTAGCTGGATTTGGATATTGACGATTTGACACGATCCAGGATCGTTTCGTTCTTCAAAGCTAATCCGAGAGTTGTTGTCATAGCAACAGTTCTGCTAGGTCAAACCTGATCGGGAGCAGGTTCAAGTCATATAAACAGGATTAGATCGGCTTAGTTCAAGCAAAGATAATACAGAAAGTATGTTCCGAATTCTGATATTTTATTACAGTAGTAGTTATATACACTTGGGAAAATGGTAATTTTTTTAAACTATATATATAAAATTATAGTCATTAATAAAATAAATAAAGTTATACATATTAATAAAACGTATGCAATCTGCACCCTCGAAATGAAAGTACAAAGACTGCCACCTGGTGGTGCAAAGAGAAAACTTATTGATATGAACTTTTTAGATCGCTTTAGTACAAATTGTGGATAATAGAAATGCACAATATGTGACTTTTTTAAAAGCAATAATACATTTATGCAGTCATAAACATGTTTTGATAGTTAATATGCCGGTGATTTGATGCTTCACAAAAGTTGCAGACACCTTTACCAATATGAAAATGCTTTTGTAAACAACCAGTTATTCTTTACACCAATTAAAAAACGGCTACTATAATAAAGAAAATATTTTCTAAATGTAGAACTAAATACATTGATTTGCATTGAAATACATGATGAATACACTTGACACATGAACGTGGAAAGCCTGCAGCTCACAACAAATGTGGAAGGTTATTGCGTGTCATATTTAACAAGCCGTTTACTGCTAATTAGATGTAATTTTGCTCACATGGATAATTGAATATTAATCAGATGATGTCATTACGCTGCTGTGCCGTCAGCCAATCGTTGCATTGCTGATCATGATTTCGAGGATCGATAGATCTGTCCTTCACAACACACGCAGCGATCTCAGATCAGTTTATCCAGACATTCTAATCTGATTCGCGAACTCGTTTGAAGAACCAAATTAGCGAGAGATCAGTTATCAAGATTAAAAGATCCGGGATCTGCCAAATAATCTTAGATAATTTAAGCGAGGTACGAAGAACGGACCCCTGACAGTGGAGCTTTTGTGTGTGGATGGCTATGTGTATCATGTTTTTGTGATTCCCTGTGATGATGTGCACATGTTACCTTACAGAGATGATGGAATTTAATTTTGGCTTAGTTGCCAGAAAGATACATACAACTGTTAGCATCTGTACATTATGGCAGTATGCAATATCCAATATCCAATAAATACATATACTTAGACAAAAGTAATGTAAGAAGTTATATGAGGAGAGGCTAACTAGCTAACAATGTAGCTTTCAAGTACACAGTTCAAGATAATAACAATATAACTTAAAACACAGCCTTATTATAGAAACCCTCAAAAACATTTGAACACATTTTATTTACTCGTTGTAGATTCTTATTTAAAGCCTAATACATATCAGACTCTACATCTGAATTGATGGACAGAGAATAGAGCACACTCAGCAGTAAACAAATCAAACACCTGGCTCCCTTAAAGGGCCAGCATTTTCTGAAAACTCTTTCTAACACCTTTGTGTTTAGAAGAAGACAGACAGCCCGTGGGAGTGTGTGGTGATGCCTAAATCATTAATTTCTGCCTTTAAAATGCACATCTCTATAAATAGCAACATAAACCATCAGAGAAGATGGGACAGTAATGGTTGAACAGTAATTTGCTATTTATTGTCAGTTACTATCTGTAATGAGTACATAAAGTAAATTACTGTAATTTATTTTTTGCACTACACAATTTCATACAAAGTCTACTCCTTTTACAGTAAAATAATGTGTTAATAAATAATAAATGTTTCCTTTTATTACAGCAAAACACTGTAGATTGTGCAGTAAATAACTGTAAAATAGCCAGAGTAACAGTGCAGTTATACTAATTAAACACACCTGATCAAACTAAATCTAAAGGTAGTGTGTTGAAGCAGGGCTGGAACTAAATTCTGCTGGGCTGTGGCCTTTCAGGAGTTTGACATCCCTGGTACATAGCATATTTTCAAAGGAATTGCCTACATTTATCACAATCATGCACATATCATTGAATAAAAACAATAAAAATATAAAAACTTCATCCAAAGTAAACAAATAAAAAATAATAATAATAATCTGATCCTCATGTTGTTCCAAACCTATAGTAAAATATATTACTATAGGTAATATATAGGTCGATATCTTTACCTTTTAATTAGCTCTGTGACATTGACATTGGTTGACTCCTGATACTCAATGTTAAAAACATAAAAGGAACCAAAGAAAACACAGAGATGGCTGCAGAGAAATTTATCTTATCATCAATGCATTGTCTCACTTTCTCCTCAATACTGACCATACACATACCAAAACTGAACTATATATATATATATATATATAGTAACATAAAGTATGAGGTGACGTATAGGATTTAAATCAAACTTTGCTTATCAACACATACATAAAACACGTGTATATACACCTATTAATTACTTGCATATACACCTATACTACTGGATGTTCAAAACAACATGGATGAAACTTTTTATATATACATATAAACTTGACGCATGAATACACCCACATACACACGCACATACATATAAACTCGATCCTCACATAAACACCCACATTCACACACGCACATACATATAAACTTGCTGCATGCAAACACACCTATACACACTCGCATACACATATAAACTTGATCTATGCATATACAACCATAAACTCTCACATAAGAATATAAACTTGATGTGTGCATAAACACCCAAATGACACTTGTGCAAACATAATAAAATTCACAAACATATATACAGTTAGTTGTGTATATACATATATGCAAGTGATTTCATATGTGTGTATGCATGAATTTTCACAGTAAAAGGAAGTTATTTCACTTTAAAAGGAAGTCGTTTCATTTCAACGTAAAAGTCCTTTGAGTGTAATGAACAAGATTATTATTTGTCATGAATCAGGTTATTGCAAAGCTTAGGAAACAGAAATAATGTGATTAATAGAGGAATTACATCTGTTGAATTATGAAAATAGATTATGCTAATTATAAATAATAAATAAATAAAAAGGTAATGCAAAGGAATGCTCCTGCAAAATTAAAGGTTTATTATGCAATTAAATGATTGGAAATGTTATTATGGTTTAATAAATATAAAGTTGCTTAAGTAATCATTTTGAATAAAATATGTTTGTCTAATATTAGTTTTTTATGTTTGTTTTATTATTGGTGTCACTATTCGTCAAGGGTTACGATACACACTTATGTCCAGTAGGGGGCAGGAATGCACTTAAGTGGGTTTTCCTGTCACCAATAAACAGGCTAATGCACCAAAATGCTGGATGCCAGCTGCTGTAAAAATATAAGTAGTAGTTATTAAACACAAAAGAAGTTTCCAGATAATATATATAGCTTTTCCATGGGGGTTAACTTGACCAACATGATGAGCAGAGACTTTTAATCAGCGTTTTTTTTTTTTTTTTTTTTTTGTCTATGCTGAATAATTAACAATCAAAATGAGACCAAAATCTTGCAATTTTGACACCCACATTGTAAAAACATATAAAAAGCATAATAATTATAAAAATGTAAAAAAAAAAAAAACAAGAAGACTATAGGCTACATTAACATTTGCGATAGAAAAGAGGAGTTTAGTTTGAGTATATATTTATATTTATAGTTCTGGTTGCTTTTCAAACGTCCTTTAAGGGTTCTATCTGTCCATTTATATTTGTGTATGTAATTACCTAATTAAATGAAAAGGTTTTAAATAAAAATATTTCTTATTTTGAATAGTCTATTCATATATATACTAATATTTTATATAACATATGTTCATAATTTAACATATTTAATCCCTCTATTAATCACATTATTTCTATTTTATAAGCTTTGCATTAACCAGATTCGTGATAAATGTTTGTGAATTTTTTTATTTTATTTTTTTTGTGTGTTTGCGCGAGATGTTGTAGGTGTGTTTGCATGCTGCGAGTTTATATGTATGTGCATGTAAATGTGGGTATTTATGCGAGAATCGAGTTTATATGTATATGCGAGTGTGTATAGGTGTGTTTGCATGCAGCAAGTTTATATGTATGTGCGTGTGTTAATGTGGGTGTTTATGTGAGGATCGAGTTTATATGTATGTGCGTGTGTATGTGGGTGTATTCATGCGTCAAGTTTATATGTATATACACAAGTTTCATCCATGTTGTTTTGAACATCCAGTAGTATAGGTGTATATTCAAGTAATTAATAGGTGTATATACACGTTTTTTATGTATGTGTTGATAAGCAAAGATTGATTTAAATCCTATACGGCACATCATAGTAGCAGCACATTTTATTTAGCATAGAAAAAATAAATAAATACATTTTCTTAAGCACCATATTGATTACACTTAAGACTGCAAACATGATGCTGATTTTTCAAGTTTGAAGCACAGGAATAACACATTTAAAAAATTTAACATCTTTAAAAATATATTCACATGCAAATGGGTTTACTGTTTTGTAAACGTGTGACTGTTTGACTCAATAAATGCAGCATTGGTTTAAAAAAACATGAATGTATGAATATTAATGCTTTCAGACTTTGCACAATTATGATATTGCATATTAAGTATTATACATACATACATACATACATACATACATACATACATACATACATACATACATACGTTTAAGTACTATAAAGTTATTTAATAATCTCTGGGGAAAACTGAGGATTCAGACATAAAAGGGGAAATGAAGAGAATTAAATAAAGCAAATGAATGCACAATTCATCAAGTCTCAGTTGGCATTTCTGTGTATAGTTTGCATGTTTTCCCCGTGTTAGCGTGGGTTTTCTCCGGGTGCTTCTGCGTTTCCCCCACAGTCCAAAGACATGCGGTACAGGTGAATTGAATAAACTAAATTGTCCGTAGTGTATGTGTGTAAATGAGTGTGTATAGATGTTACCCAGTAATGAGTTGCAGCTGGAAGGGCATACGCTGTGTAAAACATATGCTGGATAAGTTGGCAGTTCATTCTGCTGTGGCAACCCCTGATGAATAATGGGACTAAAGGAAAATTAATATATATGAATATTAAACAAAAGAAGAGAGGGGGAGCGGTGCATGAATCAAAATATGTGCAATATATCACTAAACAATATTCTGTTGTAAAAAACAGTGCAAAAATGTTGAAAGGTTGCATACGTATAAATCAGTGGTTCTCAAACTTTTTTCATCAAGTACCACCTCAGAAAAAAATTGTCTCTCCAAGTACCACCAAAATGAGTAGTATTGAAATACAGTAGCGTAGTAGGCCCAGTGAAGCAGCTACAACTCTGCACATTAAAAAAAACGTGGCAGATTAGCCTTAAATATAGGCTATATGTCATATATGGCATATTATATACATGTTTTTTAATAAATTTTAAAATATATGTAGCATGTACATGACATATTTCATTCCTCTGTGTACCACTAGAAGGAAGCCCGCGTACCACTAGTGGTACACATACCACAGATTGAGAACCACTGGTATAAATCATACAGGCAGGGGCAGATTTAACTTATAAGCAAGGTAAGCGGCCACTTAGGGTCCCAGGAAATCTGAGGGCCTCCAAATAAATACCTAGAATTTTGTACAGTGAGGATCCCCCGCCTTCAATCATGGAGCAGTCCAGCAGTCAGATCAGTAAAGATTTTGTTTTAAAAACGAAACTTTTCATTTATTATTTTTAGTTGTGAAGTCATCTTAAGTAAACAATTCGCTTCAAAAGTTTTAAAAAGTGCTTTACATGTTATTATTATTATTTAGCATTAAGATAAAATGTAGAAAATGAGATCAAATGATATAAGAAAAACAACAATAATAATAATAAAAATTATAGTACAAAGTGTGAATTTTTGAACTAACGAGCTCCATGGCTGGAATGCTCAGGGCCCCAAAATCACTAAATCCACCCTTGCAGACAATTTGCACTCATTTGCAATGAGTAAAAAATATATCTTCGAAATATCTATTTGGTTTCATACTCTGACTTTTATGAAATGACACTCTTATATCATTCTTATATCACGATCCCAAAACTATTGGGGGGACTACATTTTCTGTAGTGCGGAAATTACGTCAGTGCCTTGCGACACACATGCGCGCGCGTACCTTAGAGGACGCCGAGCAAGGCATGGAACACCTTGGTGCATTTCTACTGCTGTGGACAGGAGTGTCGTGTTTACCTTTAACGGAAGGTGAGTGAATGCTTGTAAATCTGCGTGGACGGAGGAAAATAAATGCACGTGTTTGATGTGTCGGAGTGAATCGCCAGTGTTCAAACTTTCCCATTGGACCTCAGGTTGCGCGCTGCGCGGTCACGCCATCTGATTGGATCGCGAACATGCAGCTGTCAAACTTGCAGGGGCTTTATGTTTCGATTTTCCTCGCGCATTATAAAGATGTAATTACAGACTGAGTTACTATCAAGCGCATACACCCTTATTATACAGCGGATTAAGTAGAGTGTCAGTGTTTCATTTTGCATTATAAAAGCTCGCGCGGGTTGTCCTTGGCGTTGCGTCAGGATCTTCCACGTGCGCTCTTTACATAAATGATTACTGTATTTACAGTGGCGCTTGAAACTTTGTAAGATATATTTCCAGTTAGGGATGAAATCGTCAAATGTTTTGAAATTGAACTTGTCACTTTAAATTTGGGGTTTATTAGTTTAAACAATGGGGTAATCAATGGAAAAACAAGTAACAATGTCTAGATATCAACCAGTATGGGAGCTTTTACGGCAGAAAACATGATCAAGCTTTAAATCTGCAAATCAGAAAGGCATTTCTGTTCCTAATGAACTTTTCAGATTCCATCATAGAGGTGCTCAGTAAGGATTTAGGTCTTGGCTTTGTTCTGGCTAGATCTGAGTAAATCTTATTAAATCCTTTTTTATGATGTTTTTTTAACTGCCTGCCTGGACCAGAAAATGTCTAAAAAAATTGCTGTGTAAACACTGCTTCAGTAAAGTTTTCAAACATTGTCCTCGCTGCTAATACTGAATTTGACACTGTTTCATTTGAAAGGGGAGAGTCAGGTAAGATGAGCCATTTTACTTGTGTTGTCTATAAGGAAAAAAAGAGGCAGAAGTGCAATGAAAGCATTTAACTTAATTTCTGGAGGTTTCCTTTTAATTCAAATTATGATTATGCTCACAGGACAAAGCGTTTTAAAAATACAGCATTCTAAAAAAAGCCCAGATAATAGTGTGATTTGGTATTTTAAGTGATCATATGGTTAAAAATGTCAGAATAAATATAGCATTAAAAGTCTTTTCAGGCAAAAAATAATACATTTCATTTTAAACTAAATTATATACATTTAAAATGCACTTTATAAATGTATTATTAAGCTATTGTTTATAGTCAGGCTTTTTATTGAGCAGTCAATGTTATATATATATATATATATATATATATATATATAATTATTATTATTATTTTTGTAAGTAAATAATAAATATGGCATACTAAAAAAGTGGTCATGTGGTTCAATTTGCCCCATGTTAGGAGTAAATTGATCTGAGCTAGTGGGTGAACTTACCATCCTTGGTAGGAGCTATTGGATAAACTGACTACTGAACATTAATCGAGCACTGATTAATGCAAAATGTAAAATATAATTTAATTATAAAATATAATCAAAATATTATTGAAATACATAATTTAATGATGTTTTTTCTTTTGGACTTTTAAATGTAAACACTTAAGTTTGATACTATTTAATGAACAACTACCCTACATAGACATCAGTAATCCAATTATTTGACAAATTATTAAATGGTGGACTTTAACTGCAATTTGGCACTTTCATTCAAAAATTTCATTTATGCCTCTTGTGACAAACGAGATATTTGTTCAGAGGAATTGCTGGAAGCGAGTATTTTTAATGCAATGTTTGATACCACACGGCGAAGGAAGGAAGGTAGCATCAGAAAGCCGTGTGTGTTATTCCTGTCGAAAATCCTACACGACGATAATAGTTTGATTGCGGTGTTTGCATGTTTACACTCGGAGAGCAACATTTACAGCAGATTTTTCAGTCATAATATTGTAGCTATACTAACGTACGGTAAACTTAGTAACTTAGAAATAATTTCGACCAAGGTCCGTCTTTAAACACTGAAAGAGTACTGCTGATGACACGAACTAACTTTGCCTCTGAATAAACGAACAAAGATCACTGATCGCACACTTACCAAATCTGTAGAGACAGGACAATCAACACCAACTAGATCCGCATCTTTTTTAAAAGGAGACAAGCAGCAATTCCGAATTTTACCATTTCCAGATGAGAAAAGTTCTCTGGTAAACAATTTTCCTTAGACACATATTTAGGTTGAGTGTCGCGTGCACTGTAATCTACACGTGAGTTCAGCTGCCCTCTCATAGCGGGAAAATAAAAACAAAACCTTTGATGCAGCAAATAATAAAAGCAACACTGACAACTTGTGTCAAACAATTCTTCTTCTTCCACTTGTTTTGACAACACAATGTGGTGTCTCTCTGCCGTCTGAACACTGTACAGGTACAAACAGTCTTCGATTGATTAATTAATATCTTTTAATTAAGTTGCATATTAATTAAGTTGCACCACATACACAATAGAGTGCGCTGATTGGTTTGAGCCAAGTCTTTCTCATGAATGAATGCAGCCCACTCAGAGATGTCACCAAGTACTCCCAGGTAGAGACAGCCAGTCTACACGCTGGAATACACGCAAGAACCTAATCGGTGTGACGCAGCTTCAAAAATAAGTTTCAAACCGGAAGAATGAATTTGCTCGAAATATTGCAAAAACAACCAATTTTCACTTTTCTATGTGAAATATATGTGTCTTAATAGTGTTTATTGCAGCGTGGGACACGTATATGACTGTCAACATTAAAAAAAAAATGTGTTTTGGTGTTTCGTGACCCTTTAAATACCTCTTTTGCACAATAGCTTGCACAATATAGTTTTAGTACCTGTATAGTCTGTCTTGGGTTATAATCAGTTATTAAACCTGTTATGTTTAGAAATGTGTTGATAATCCTTCTGTTAAACTGAAATTGGTGGAAATATACAGGGTGGTTTGTAATTCAGGCCAGGGGTTTAATAATTCTGACTTCAACTGTATGTATAGTAAGATTACTGCTCAAGTATGTTAGTCATGCGTAAGCTTAAAACCTGCTCTTACATTCAGTGTTGTATTTTTTTAATGATTATGTTTATTTAAGTAGCACCATGACTTGCGACATGCAACATTTCATGGTATTTCCACCTCATAATTATGAACTGACTGTTTATTATTTTTATATTATATACCATAATATCTTAATTATTGTAATTTTTTATGGTCAAGTAGCAACATTTCACACTTAGGTTAAAGCATTAGTTCACATTCAGAATAAATGGTTCGATAATTTACTCATACAAGATATTTATTTCTCTTCAATCAAAAAAAAAAAAAAAATGAAGGAAAGCATGCAGGGCAACAAACTCGTTTGACACTACATCTGGGGTGCAAACTTTTGTGGTTAAAAAAAATACATATATACAGTTGAAGTCAGATTTATTACCCCCCAAATCCCCCCACACCCCCTGAATTAATAGCCCCCCTGTTTATGTTTTCCCCAATTTCTGTTTAACAGAAATAAGATTTATTTAACACATTTCTCAACATAATAGTTTTAATAACTCATTTCTAATTACTGATTTATTTTATCTTTGCCATGATGACAGTAAATAATATTTGACTATTTATTTTTCAAGACAATTCTATACAGCTTAAAGTGGCATTTAAAGGTTTAACTAGGTTAATTAGGTTAACTAGGTAGTTTAGGATAATTAGGCAAGTTATTGTATTACAATGATTTGTTCTGTAGACTATTGAAAAAAATATAGCTTAAAGGGGCTAATCATTTTACCTTAAAATTTTAAAATAAAAAAATTAAAAACTGCTTTTATTCTAGTCGAAATAAAACAAAAGACTTTCTCCAAAAGAAAAAAATATTATCAGGCATACTGTAAAAAGTCCTTGCTCTGTTAAACATCACTTGGAAAATATTTTAAAAAAAAAGAAAAAAAGGGGGTTTAAAGGGGGGCAAATAATTCTGACTTTAACTGTACATATATTTTAAGAAAAATGACTGATCATTTTGCTATAGGTGCATAAAAGATATATTTAATTAACTGGTTCCATATTTCCTGTGCCACAGGATTGCCATTTATTTATGGTTGTTAATGGCATTATGGGACCCTGATCTCTGCTCTGTCAACTTGATTTTGAAATTTTAACTCTGCAGTTTAAAAAAAGACTTTCATTGACATTTTAGTGTTTTGAAACAATATATTGCTATATATATATATATATATATATATATATATATATATATATATACACACACACATAAAATAAAGTCTATAAAAAAAGTACTGGCATTTTATTACCAAGCCATTGTCTTGTAATTTACAAAACGGACCCAGGCAATATATCATTTCAAACTAGGCATGGGCCGGCATAAGATTCTAATGGTATGATAACTTTGGATAAAAATATCCAATATTGTGATTACTTCTCTAAAATGTATGTTTTAAATGTATGTATTAAATGCTTTGGTAAAATCAAAACCTTTTCTCGCTTTGAACGCAATGACTGTGTCCGAAATCACATTTTTCCATACTATATAGTATGCTAAAAACAGTATGCAAGCTGAGTAGTATGTCTGAATTCATAGACTTCTGTATAGAATGTACTGTTCTATCGGTCGAGTAGTACATTCAAATTCAAATGCAGGGCCTACTGAGTAGTAGGTGATTTCAGACCCAGCCGATACCAATATGTGTTATTTTGAGAAACATTTAAAATAAAAATATTTTGGAACAGGAGACATTTCTGGATAAATAATTTAAATGAAGACTTCTGTTATCTTCATTAGTTTTAAAACGCACATTTGAGAATTTTAAATGATTTAAAAACGGCACCTTTAGATATCTTTTCTGCTGGAGATACTGTTGTCCTAAAAAACAAACAAACAAAAAACATTTTGGCGGTTTAAAAACACTGACTTTTCCAAACCTGCAGACTTTTTTTTTTTTTTAAACAGTTGAAGTTAATACTCTTGCTGATTTAAAAAACTGCAATTTGTAAATGTCCAACCACTGATAGAAACCCACTATATGACAACAATTTTTTAAATATTATTCCTAAAAAGTCATAAAAAAGTAATATTATTTTTTAAACTGTACATTTTGGATGACAAAGTGCTGAGCAAATTTTCAGAAAATGTTAATTCTGGAAGTGAACTAAATCCATCTTTAAAGTGAACTCCTAATAATAAGAGCTGTTCTCTTATCTGCCACAGGTTTCCCAAAGTGCACCGTGCTTCAGTTTGTGTGTGCGAACAGCAGATGTGTATCTCTGTCTTCGCGCTGTGATGCTGTGAATGACTGTGGAGATGGCAGCGATGAAATCTCCTGCTGGAACTGCACTAATGGCTCTTTCCACTGTGTGGCGTCAGAGAGCTGTGTTTCCTCCAGCAGTGTGTGTGATGGCAGGCCGGACTGCGCTGATGGAGCAGACGAACAGTTAGACACATGCACATCATTTTCTCAAGCACAGCCATGTGCACGTTCAGAGTTCACATGCACTAATGGACAATGTGTGCCCAATTCATGGAGGTGTGACCACTCCAGTGACTGTAAAGATGGCAGCGATGAAGAAGACTGTGGTATGTTTTTTTTAAGGAATAGGCCATTTTTTCTTTATTTTTGGACTTTAAAGTCATAGTTTAACCAAAATTTACATTCCTGTTAATTTACTCACCCATGGGTTATCCAAAATGTAGGCGACCTTTCTCTTAGGTAGACTATTAAAAGGATAGTTCACTCATAAATGAAAATTTACTCACCCGCAAGTGGTTCCATACCTTTATGAATTTCCTTTTTCTGTTGAACACATTCAAAAAAGTCATTTTGTAAGATGCTGGAGACCTGTAATCATTGACTTCCATTGTATTTAGTTTTCCTACTGTGAAACGCAATGGTTAATGCAGGTTTCCAGCATTCTTCAAAATAACTTTTTTAAGTGTGTTCAACAGAAAAAAGAATCCCAAACATGTTTTGGTTCAGTAAATGACAGAATCTTCTGTTTTGGGTGAACTGTTTTTAGCTATATCTGTGATGTATATTAAGACCATTTATGTAAAGCTGCTTTGACACAATCTACATTGTAAAAGCGCTATACAAATAAAGCTGAATTTAATTGAATTGAATATATTGGCAGTCAATGGTCACGCTTTTTTAAAAAAAATATTATAAATAAACACATACAAACAAGTCCAAATCCACATTCATGGCAACACACTGCTGTCACTGATGTTTATTTGATCAGTAACGTAGCTGTAATGTGAAATATGGGTTTAAAATAACCTTTTCTGTAATTATGAGCATTGACTACAGTTGCGCTTCTAAAATGTTAGCTTGAATTATTTCTGATATATATAAAGTTAATTAATAGGAAACTAAATTGTGAGTAACAATGTATTACAGTATTTAAAAATTACAACACACACACAAAAAAAAACACAAACGTGTCTTGTGAGAAAAAGATTGTAGAGATTGTAACAAATCTGTCTGTATATACACACACACAAACAGTTGAAGTCAGAATTATTAGCCGCCTTTTTTATTTTATTATTTTTTTTTAATTTCCCAAATTGTGTTTAACAGGGCAAGGATATTATCACAGTATTTCTGATTTTTTCTTCTGAAGAAAGTTTTATTTGTCTAGAATAAAAGCTTTTATTTAAAAAAAAAATAAATAAAAAATTTAGGACAAAATAATCAAAGTTAAATTTAAGGTAACTTTTTTTTGATAGTTTACAGAACAAACCATCATTATACAATAAATTACCTTAACCTGTCTAGTTAAAAATATTAGTAAAAAAATGTTAAAAAATATCTAGTTAAATATTATTAACTGTCATCATGGCAAAGATAAAATAAATAATTTTTTAACTGATGAGTTATTAAAACGATTATATTTAGAAATCTGATGAAAATTTTTTTTCTCTGTTAAACAGAAATTAGTATATATATATATATATATATATATATATATATATCTCACCACCTTGTAATTATAGGGTTCTATCTGACATTTTTGTTAAAATTTAGTTATTGACATATTCTTATTAAATGACAACTTACATTTACATTATGGGATGTTTGTTATAAGTTGTTTACATTTTAAAATTTTATTTAAAAAACAAATTTTACACACATACATGCTATGGAATGAAAAAACTTTGAAGCTCAATATCTCAAAATCATTCAGAACACAGATAGAACCTTAATAAAATGATATTAATATGATGATAATTTTGGCAACTTTATGTATAATTTAATATTTTTATTTTATTTTATTATTATTTGAAATTGGTTTGGTTGTCTATTTTATCATTCATTTTAAATATTTTTTTCTGTCTTTTGCTTTTATTTTAGCTTTAATTTTTAGTAGTTTATTGTTCTGTCATAACTATTAATGTTTTTTTGTAGCTTTTCAAATTTTTAATTTCTAATTTTACTGCTTACATTGTATGAACTTGTACATAATAAATAAACATATATTAAAAAAAGAATGTGCTTTATTTATAAACCACTTTTAATGCTCTCTCTCTCTCTCTCTCTCTCTCTCTCTCGCTCTTTTCCTCTCTCTCTTTCTCTACGAGAGAGAGAGAGAGAGAGAGAGAGAGAGATACAGTTGAAGTCAGAATTTTTTTCTTTTTTTAAAATATTTCCCAAATGATGTTTAACAGAGCAAGGAATTTTTCACAGTATGTCTGATTATGTTTTTCTTCTGAAGAAAGTCTTTTTTGTTTTATTTTGGCAAGGATAAAAGCAGATTTTAATTTTTTAAAAACCATATTAAGGTCAAAATTATTAGCCCCTTTAAGCTATATTTTTTCGATAGTCTATAAACCATCGTTATATAATAACTTGCCTAATTACCCTAACCTGCCTAGTTAACCTAATTAACCTAGTTAAGCCTTTAAATGTCACTTGAAAAATATCTAGTCAAATATTATTTACTGTCATCATGGCAAAGATAAAATAAATCAGTTATTAGAGATGAGTTATTAAAACTATTATGTTTAGAAATGCGTTGAAAAAAAAATCTGCTCTCCATTAAACAGAAATTGGGGGAAAAAATTAACAGGGGGGCTTATAATTCTGACTTCAACTGTATATGAAAAGCACATTCTTTGTATCATTATTAAAGAATCTATTTGATCATTGTCTCTTTTGTTGTTCTTTCTCTTATGATGTAGATCACAATGAATGTGCGGTCAATAACGGTGGCTGTTCACACACATGTATCGATCTGCCTTTCGGCTTCAGATGTGACTGTCCTAAAGGAATGAGGCTGGTCCAGGACACACACTGTGAGGGTGAGCAATGGGTAACTTAGTAATGACATTACATGATCCAATGTAAACACATTACAGCATTGCTGCAGAAACGCTGCTTTGGAAGCTCTTCATTCACAGTCAATGATTGCCCTTTTTCCATGAACAGCAGTGCCCAGAACAGGGTGGTTTCTGAACTAAAACAAGTAGTATTCTCAGCACGTATGATCTAAACATGAGCTGACCTGTTACATTTGAATTGAAAATCACCATTAATGTGTATTTAACTATTCAACGGGAATACTGTTTTTCATGTACTTGTCAGTTTTGCGATTTTAGGCTTTTAATAGAGTTCTTGTTTTTAGTTTGAAGAAAAGAAAACCTGCTTCACGCTTTATCAGTTTATTCCTGTAGGTTTCATTTAAAATTTGTATTTTTAAAGGCCTTTTTTTTCTGCATTGAGCTGTTAATCTCCACTTCATCAGCTCTTCTATACATCAGTCTCTACAATTTCATTTATATCTGTATTCTGAAGGTTTCATACATCATTCGCCTGTTTATATACAAGATTTTATTTGCTTTTGGCAGTATTTTTTGAAAGTTGGAATGACAAAGAGATTCCTAAAATCCATTCTGTTAAATCCTTAAAACTTAAATATGCTAAAAAAAATTAGTGTATATTTAAATATGACTGAATTTGCATATTTAAACGTTTTTAAATATACTTTTGAAAACGTGTCATAAAAAGTGGGTAACACTTTAGTTTAGATTCGATTTCCCACTATTAACTAGTGGCCTATTACCTGCTTATTATTTCCATTTTGGCTTTGAATTAGTACTTATAAAGTATGATCTTATTCTACATCCCTAGACCTACAAAATACCTAAATCCAAATTACTACCTCACTCACTATTAATAAGCAGCAATGCAACACCTATTGAGCTAAAAGTCTAAAGCTGCAGTCACACTGCACTTTTCGCCTCATAGACTTCCATATATACACATTTGAATGCGACAGAGAGGATACGCAAGCTTGTGCGACAAGTTTCAAAGTTCGCTGTGTTGCAAAATTCAAGCTTGGTGGACTCTGACCTGCGAAATTACGTTATGTGACTGTGTGAGACCAATCAAAAATCAAAAGATGACCGCTCTGTACAGAAATGTAAAACATGGAGAAATCGCATTTTGTATGCTTACAGTGTGCGGCGTGAGGCTAAAAGTAAAAATTGTACCTTAAAATAAAGTTTGATCAAAGAGTGTTTGCAATTCCCAATGTAACCAATCATTGCAGAAATAGGTTGATGATGATATTAATAATAATAATAATAATAGTAATTCTTCTTCTTATTATTATCATTAATATTATTATCATCATCAACATCTTTTTTAATCTTTTTTCTGATTTGCAATGTGCATTGTCCTTTGTCCAAAATTTAACCATTACGAAACATCTCTTTGATTATTATTTAAAAAGTATGATAATCATCGCTCTCTTTCATATTTTAGTATTACCATTTCCCTCAAAAACTCACTTTTCACTTTCAGTTGTGGACCAGTGTCTTGACGCAGACGTGTGTGATCAGATTTGTGTCCATTCCAATGGCTCTGTTGTTTGTGACTGTCAGGATGGATATCAGCTGACCGCCGGGACGGGACAGTGCAGGGCAACAGGTTAGAAGGAGATTTCAATATTGTCCTGTAAAGACACACAAGATATTGTTTTATTTATATCTAAGATAATGTTTTGTGTGCAAATTTGGGTTAGTGTTAATGTAATATTATTTATACAGTGTATAAAAGTATTTATTAATGTTTTAAATGAGCTTTTATTCTTTTTTCCTTTAACTTTTTTTTGGTTGTCATTTTTTTATATTTCCGTTTAGTTGTATAACAAATTCATTAAATTTAATTTAATAAATAAACAAAAATAAAAATCTGATTTTGGTTTGCAGATACTTATGAATTTTTGACTGGATGTTTATGCTATGATGAATATGTTTCTGACTTGTAATATGTTTATGCTTTTTATTTAATGCTGTAAATTGTTTCATAAATGTTTATACATTTGTAAACATTTTATTAGCATGTGTTTTACAAAAAGGAAGAGTTGTAGTTATTATTCTAATGTTAGCCAGATGAATCAAGCTCTTCATAAATCAAAACATGCTCTACAGCAGGGGTTTTCAACCTTTTTCACTTCGGGGCCCACTTCCTTCGCTGATCAGTTTTTGAAGGCCCATTTAATTATATATAAAACAAACTATATAATATATACTATATATTATAACTATATACATATATAATTTTATAGATCTTTTTCAAAAACATATACCGATCCAAAGAGAACCACAGGTTAACAGGAAGATTCCAAAAGACCAGCTTCTGCTTTAAACTGGATTAATTGAATATCTACTATTAAATATCTACTATTCAAAAATACACAGACAAATATAGTAAAACACCCTAAATCTGGTGAAATGCATTGATCTGATGGCGGTTGAGTTTGCAGCTGGATATTATTGGGAGATCGCTGACAGGAACAGTGAAGAGCTCAGTCAGAGCGCGTCTGAAGCTCATATGTAACTTTATTTTACATTCTATGGCAGAAACAACATTGAGCCTCGCTAGATCTTCCTGTGTAGGTGCACATCCATTAAAAAACAATCATAGGACATTTATTTGGACAACTATGCAGATATATTAAATTCACAAAAAATTAACAAAGAGAGACTTTCACTTCATGCATAGATGGGAATGGACAGACTGACGTGTACTAGTTGCAGATGCGATCATCAGGCTGTTTTTGTGCCAAGTTTGAAGTAAACAACCAGAGAACAGGAGAAAGTGCAATACTTCAATCATTTTAAAATGTCATATTAATAATGACATCCAAAAGTTATAGTATAATATTGAGAGTTAATTTTAATCTCGCTGCCCACCTGCAGGATTGCTGAGGCCCACTAGTTGAGAATCCATACTCTACAGCAGGGGTGCGCAAACTTAGTCCTGGAGAGCCGGTATCACATGTTTTAGTTCCAACTCCAATTAAACCTACCGACACCAGCTAATCAAACTCTTTCTAGGTATACTAGAAACTTTCAGGCAGGTATGTTGAAAAAAGTTAAACAGTTAAACAATGCAGGACAGTGGCTCTCCAGGATCGAGTTTGAACACCTCTGACTGCACTACAGTATAATAAAATAGTACAAATGATATTTTAATGGTAATAAATTGTAGTGTGTAAGTTTGTGATTTATTGTATTCACCATTCACACATCACTAGCCATTTGACCATTCCAGACATCACTAGCCTTTGACATTTGAGCGATTTAAGCCAGTGAATTATTTGTTGATTTGTATTATTGAAATTGGCTCAGATGTTTGAAAGTTTTGTAAATAACGATTTCTGCTATCGCTAGCATTAACATCAGTAATTGTGCCGTTGGTTCCATGCAGGTGGCCTTGCTCATGTGGCGGTCAGCACTCAAGAGGGCATTAAAATGATGGACCTCAGCGGCTCTGAGGAAAGAAACATCACAGATAAAAGACTCTCACCAGGACCTGTTTCTGCACTGAATGCTCACAACACACTATACTGGAGCAGTCCAGAGAATGACATCATCTACAGGTGCAAAGCAAGATCCAGCATTTGTCTGATTCATCACTTATTGTTTGCACTTCCGCTTTAAAAAAAAAAAAAAATCTTTAAAGCAACATTATGTATCTTTTTTGCCAATGGTTCCTCATTGCGGTTAAAAAGCATTAATGCGTTTGCTACTAGTGTCATTAGTCTCTCACACTATGAACTTCCTCGTGGGCAGCGTGTGTTTGTAGACTATAAGCTGATAGAACTGCATTGCAGAAACCTCATTTGGAGACCATATCCATTGAGGAGGTAAAGTCTGTGTTACAGCTATAAATAAGGGGTGTGTTTGATCACATTCTTCATTCCAGATAAATTAGATCCAGCCCCGTATGCCAGATGTTGTCAGGAAATGCCAGTTTCTCCAGGTGTCTGCACAACAAGTGAGCAAAGTTTCCAATACCCAAACCTGTTAACCAGTAGTTAACTGAATTAACAGTTTGGTCTACCATCAATATAGGAGTTGACTGTGGAAGGAAGCTAAAGAAGAGCAGAAGCAGGAGAAGAAGTGATGGTAATAAATGAGCAGGGTTTATTGAATAATCTTAGTTGTGTTTTGGTGCGCTCTCGTTCTTCACCTGAACAGCACAAATATAACAAATGCATTATTATACATCAGGCCAAAAGACTTCGAGTTAGACACATACCCTCATATCAGTGGAGAGAATAATTTCATGAAACATTGTCACTATAAGACTAAACTATAAGCAGAACAATAATGCCGCAGTCTCACTAGAGTTTGTGCATGCAAAATTCTGTCGTACAGTGCTGTGAAAAGGGGTGGGATTAAACAAGATGATTAGACATTTAAAAAAGCGAGCGATTGGTCCATATTTTAAATTTCTGTCCAGAGAGGTCATGTTTTGATCCTTGATTGGTCTCACGCGGTCACGTGATGTGATTTCGCAGGTCAGAGTTCACCAAGCTTGAACTTTCCTTTGCAGCAAACTGCGGAACTTGTCCCACAACCTTGCGTTTCCGGTCTGACACATTCGTGTGCTTATGAATGGAAGTCTATGGGGAGAAAAGTGCTGTTTGACCGCAACTTAAGAAATATATATATATATATTAAATCAATAAATGATTAATATAATAAACAATAAACGTAAATTAATTAAAAATATGAATAAATAAATGGATGACTAAACGAATATCTAAGATTTATAAATGATTATATAGCTATAAATGCTATATAAATTATAAGCTATAAATTATTAATGCAAAACAAATGATAAAGAAACATAAAATAACATAGAATTGATTTCATTTAAAGCACACACAGGTTATTACAAATTTCTGATTTTACAGGTGAGACTCAATATATCGTGATATTTTCGGACACGATACTTTATTCATATTCTGGCACCAAGTATCGATATTGAATGAACAAAAACGGTTGAAGGAAACGGCAAGATGCGCAAAATGTGCAACATAAAAACAGAGTAGGATTAACTTTTTTTTTATTAGAAAATATGCACATAAACTATGATGGAAAAACTTTTACTGAACAAATTGCAGTATACACATTAAAGAAATAATGTAATTTTGTTATAAGAGATCATGTGATGATAATAATGTGGCAGAGCACATTGTAAAACATCTGAAATGTTGTTTTGGTTATTCTAAAACACCTTTACCATCTCAGTATTAGTGTTATTAAATTATTAATGATCTCCAGAATCAAGAGCATCTGTGCTCCGCGTCTCATGCCTTCAAATGCTACTGCACATTCACTGCATGTCAGGATTGCCTTCTGAGGCACAAATTATTTATTAAATAAAGAAAAGATTGACGCAGCTTCTCATACCATTGCAAATTCTGTTTTTACTGTTGATATTTAACGCCAGATAATCAGGAAGTGACGATATTGTTCGCTTTGACTCGTTGGATGGAAACGCTGCTTTATTTTATATTATTATATAATCCACTTTTGCCCATAAAGTTAATTCGCATTTTTGGATGGAAACATAGCTTAGGACACACCGGTGTCATTTACCTTTTTAGTCACAAACTGCTCTCTTTAAATCAGCATTTTAAGCTTGTTTGACAGCTCTGAACTTGTTTTACATATTTTCAATTCTATAAAACATGCTGTTAATAATTTGTGATATATCGTGGAATCGCTGATGTTGTGATATAAATATCAGAGGCAAAATATTGTGACAATATCTCTACTATAAATGTACTAATAGCTTATACTTAGGGAATCGTCATACGTTTATGCATATTTGTTTAGACTTAAAGTACCTTTCTTAAAAAAAAAAAAAAAAAAAAACACCCACTGAATTGAATTAATGTTATACAAATTAAAATGTGTTTTTTTTTTTTTTTTTGCTCCAAATTGGAGATAGTTATGTTTGTAACTCTAGAGCATGAAGAATGACTGGGCTATTTTGCCATTGAGGTGACTGGTTTAAGTTTCCAGTAAAACTAGTTTTCTTCTTTACTCAGTATATGAAGCTGATAACTGAAGGGAGAGGTAGAAGGATAAAAGGAAAACTGAGACAATTGAAAAGAAAACGGAGGATACGATAAATGAGAACTGAGCCTTTAATTATTTGCATGGCCCCAGTAGTATCTAGATCTCTTTTTTCAGAACCATCCACTGCAAAGCGTAAAACAAGGCCTTATATTCTCTTCAGCAAAGACCAAACACAGCAGGAAAAGATTGATGTACAGTTGAAGTAAGAATTATAAGGCTCCCTTTGAATTTTTTTTCTTGTATAAATATTTCCCAAATTATGTTTAACAGAGCAAGGAAATTATTACAGTAGGCCTGATAATATTTTTTCTTCTGAAGAAAGTCTTATTTGTTTTATTTCGGCTAGAATAAAAGCAGTTTTACTTTTTTAAAAATACATTTTAAGGTCAAAATGAATAGCCCCTTTAAGCTATATATTTTTCTATAGTCATCTGTACAGATCAAACCATCATTATACAATAACTTGCCTAATTACCCTAACCTGCCTAGTTAACCTAATTAACCCAGTTAAGCATTTAAATGTCCCTTTAAGCTGTATAGAAGTCTTTAAAAATATCTAGTAAAATATTCTTTACTGTCATCATGGCAAAGGGAAAATAAATTAGTTATTAGAAATGAGTTATTAAAACTATTATGCTTAGAAATGTGTTGAAAAAAAATCTGCTCTCGGTTTAACAGAAATTGGGGAAAAAATTCAACAGGGAGACGAATAATTCAGAATATATTGAAGAGTCACACTCTTTATACTGTTCATGTGTCTGGCCCTCAGCCAGAGAGAGTTCATTTATCAAAGGATGGCCTTGCTGGGTGTGGGATTTCCCGGCACTGAAATTGTGTCCCAGTGTAGCCCTGGGCCTGATAGGTTATAAAGTAACAGAGCCTCTTTATTTGAGTGTCTTCTATTGATTGTTCTTTGGCCTTGTGTCTGATCACTTTCTGTTTCTTTGCTGGCTCTGGCATGGCATTAGTTTTGAGACTTGCATATTAGGCTGAATGAATGAATAAGCTGTGAGGAGATCTGTGACGACACCCTGATGTATCCAAGTTTTAAAGTGTTGCTCCCATATGTCACACAAAGTATCATGGTGTGTAGGAAAAAAGGTCTATTGGTTGAATGGATAATCAAGTCCAACACAAAATGCACAATTTAAGCCAGTTTATCTGTCTGTTTCAGGATGTCCTTAGACTCCGGTGACCACAGACCAGCTGTGTGGTTGAAGGCTTCAAAAGGCATTGTGGGATTGGCAGTGGACTGGATCCATGAGAGTCTGTATTGGATCAGCACCAGTACTCGTGCTTTACACATGGCCTCTCTGAAAAACACCAAGCAAAGGCTGCTTATCTCTGGGCTCTCTAAACCTACTGCTGTTGCTGTCCAGCCACTGTTAGGGTAAGGAAATGCAGCTTTTCTATGCCATAACAGGGCTTGACATTAACACAAACTTGCCAAATGCGGGTGGATTTCATCTGTGGCGGGTTACACAGCCACACCAGCTAGCCACTTTGGCTGGTTAAAGTTTAATTGTAGTTTTCTTAAAAAGCAGAGTTTAGGGCCAGCGTTAGAGATGACAAAAACCTGTTTTTGTGTTAGCAAAAGGAGCATGGTATATACCTAATGAGAGCATGATCACACGCGAGGTGAGCAGTGTTGGGTAAGTTACTTTAAACAAGTAATAGATTGCAAATTACTACTGGAAAATTGTAATCTGATTACATTGCTAATTACGTGATGTAAAAAGTAATCAGATTACTAATTACTTTACTTTGAAGTTACTTTTAAAACGTATAAAATACAACATAAAGGGAAGCTCTTTCAGTAATTTAATATTCACGAAGAAACATTACAATGGGTTAATCACAGCAGCTTGACATTTTCAAAAGACTTAAGAGTTCAACCAAACTTTACAATTCTCTCATCATTCACTTGTTCCAAACTTGTTTGTTAATTAGTTAATTAGTTTGTTTGTTTGTTTTAACAAAAAAAGAAGACATTTATAAAAAAAAAAAAAAAACTGGATACCTGAAACCATTGACATCTAGAATATGCAAAAGCACTGCAGTGTTCTGTGTGGTAATTAGTCTACCGAAATGTGTATATTCCATACAATGCATGAAGCTGACCAGTCAGTCCTTGTCACATGATTCGTGGTTTTTAACTGGTGCACCTGCAAAATGCGAGTGTGCACAATATGAGCTCTGGATATGTGTGTGCAAGCCGTGCGCCTCCATTGGAATTAACGAACTTGCACGTGCAAAAGACGCAATATGTAAACTCTCTTCAAATTCAGAACACCTTCACTCCTGATTCTACACAAAAATTCAACTTCCTCTTTCCTGACGAATTGTCATAGAATGCTTTTTGTTCAATCGCTCGAACAAGTTGCTGGTCGAGGTTAAAAGCAGATGAAAGCTCTTCAGAGACTAGACATAGACTGCACAGCAATAGTTTTGTTCTTCCGCTCAATGAAATCAAAGTAATGTCTGTATTTACACTCGAAAAAGCAAACACACTCGTCAGCATCCATCACCATTTCAGCTCATGTTCTCCAGCAATTTACTATTACTATTACCAACTCTTGAGGTGAGAAGCAGGCAAATTTTTTTTTTTCACTCACTAATGTGATGCACATGAGTGTTTATAAGTTTTAAAAAAAACTGTTCTTTATTGCGTGAAGCATCTGTGCCTAAAAACGCAATTGGTGTTATCGGTTCTCTTTGAAACAGACTGGACAAAAAGTGACGCTCTTGCACCCACAGTCCTGCTACTTTTAAGAGCTTGAGATTTTTTTTTTAGATGTCTTTTTGTAAGCAGCAGCGGTTGCTTTCACTTTAACCATTCTATGAACAGATTATTAATGGGCCCAACATTACCTGTGTGACGTGATCATCTTTTCATTATCACACACAATATGTTTTTCACCTGCTTTCTTTTGCTTAGTTATTTTAGGCTAAGAATTATTATTTTTTATGTATTTGTTTTTGGTGTGGCTAGAGAAAAATGTGGCAAATCCTGTTGAGGCTTAAAAAGTCATGTAAAATAAAAAAATAGTTTCAATTTGAAACTATGAAACCACAACCCATTTGTTCATGCTCACTGAGCAAGTATATACACGGCAAACAAAAAAGTGAAAAGAATGAGGTGGCATGTGGACAGAACACAGAATCTGAATCAAGTAGTTTTAGCATGACAAAGTCACATTTTATGCATATAAAATATATTTTCCCGACTACAAAATTGTGACTAGTGAAAATGGCGAGTGGCTAGTAATGTTGGAAAACTGCTAGCCACAGTGTCTGGTTATCAAAACAAGTTAATGCCAAGCCCTGGTCATATATACAGCTGTGGAAGAAAATTCTAAATTTAATGTGGAATAATGCTTTATAGTTGTGTATTTGTGTACAATTGTAAAATCATTTTCACATAACCATGCAAAATAGAAAAAAAAGTCATCTAGAGCATTTTGTGGGGCATAAAATAAGAACAAAAATATTTTAGACAATACAACACCAGTGAATCTTATTTCAGTTCCTCAGTCTAGGCTGAAACGTAGAGGGGACAGAGCTTTCTCTTTGGCGGGTCCTTGGTTGTGGAACACCTTGCCCCTTGAGATTAGAATGGCTCCATCATTATCTATTTTTAAATCACTTCTTTTTTTGTTTGTTAAAATTATTATTCAATGATAATAACAACAATAATAATATAATAGTAATATGTTATTAGACTTACGCTAAATAAATTGTGTTATATAATATCTTAAATAATTTCGACTTTTACTTTCATAAAGTATATTATGCAGCTGTATTAAAATGTAGTAATATACTATTAAATATACTATATGTTATATACAGTACTTAAAACACAATTATAATTATATATCTAATTTAAAATCGTAATGAATTGGGATTATTTTTACAGGCACATCTTTAAGCTGATGATGCGTGTGGTGATGTTTCTTTTTCAGCATACGATTTTGAAAAGCTTAAAGGTATAAGTCATGAGTTTGCTGGTAATTTACTCATCCAAGGTGTAGGTAACAAGTAATAGTCTATTATAATGAAAGTGAATTGATATGCTTCATAAAAACATGTAAAGTGAACACATCCTTTGTTTTGTAAAGGTAAATGATAAGTGTGTGTAAAACAAATATTAACATTTTAAACTGTAGACCACTTAATTTAGCCAGCGGGCAAATGAAGCAGTATGTCAACATTTCTGCATCTACAGATTGTGAAATAAGATGTACTATGAAACTTACAGACCATATTTAAAATGAATGAACAAAAGACAGCCAGTACTTACGCAAGTATAGAGTGCGGGAAGTAAGTATTGGACACGTCATGTTTTTCATGGGAAAAATATTCCTAAAGGAGCTGTTGACATGAAGTTGAACCAGAATTTGGTAAAAACCCAAACAATACAAACATAAAAATAAAACAAAACAGAAAAATGAGTCATGTGTAATAACAATGGAATGACACAAGGAGAAAGTGCTGAACTACCGGAATGTATTTAATATAAAAGGCTTTATTGGTGATGGCAGCTTAAAGACGACACATGCTTTGTTCAGGTGGGATTTTTTATTTATTTTTTTTTTACTGACTTGAAGTATAAAAATCTTGATGGTTCTGTGGGTTTCGTCTATCAAATCTGGTCTTTATTTTGTATTGGATTCAAGCCAGATGGTTGGCTAGGCCATTCTGCAGCTTGATTTTCTTTCTCTGAAAACATTTGAGTGTTTTCATTGGCTGTATATTGGATCACTGTCTTGCTGAAATATCCACAATTAGGGGTGTAACGATTTATCGTTGTACAATTTATTGCGATGCAAAAATGTCACAATATGCATCGTGGCGTTATGACGATTTGATTACGATACGACGTCCATTTTCTCTTATTAGTTGAGCTGTTTGCAAGTGAGCTACGTTCCACCGGCTGTCGCACGTGAGTTCAGATTGCAGCAGCAGTAATGTTAGCAGACCAAGATGAGTGGAGCTGAAATAGAGGATGGCCCATCCTCTCAAAATCAGACGTCTTGCAACATTTCGGTTGTACAGTCATTGCTTTAGACTCGTCCGCTTTTTGACACGCATACTGGGTCAAACATAGCCGAAGTTTTAAAGTCTTCACAGTGATTTACATACTTTGCACAGCGACAGGGATACCTTCTAATGGTGTTGAAAGAGTCACATACTGTATTTATAGGGTACAATTCACCCTAAAATATCATTCTGTCTTCATATAATGTTCCCGCCGCAAAATCACACATGACGTGAGCTGACCGTGAACTGTTACTACAGAGGGCGGACTATGATAGACGCGCGCGTATGGCAAGCCATTTTAGCATTTAAACCTTTGTTCTGACTATCCATAAATATATTTAGAGATATCTCTAATTATATTTTGACTAGTCATAATTATAATTCAACTAGTCAGAATGACAATTAGAGATATCTGCAATTACAATTGTACTAGTACGAAATCAGATTGGAGATATCTGCAAATATATTATGACTAGTCATATTCCTCCATTGACTTCCATTGAAAAATATTTGCAGATATCTCTAAATGAGTTTTGACTAGTCACAATTGTAATAAGAGATATCTCCAAATTAATTTAATTAAATATGAATTAAATACCTGGAAATGTGGATTTTTTTTTGCACACACAAAAAACGCAAGTGACCAAGCAAAGCCTTAAGCTCTTACTGTTAAATTCAATTGAATAGAAAGCTTATTTTTTTTGCACCTTTACTTAAATTTTTCCTTAATTTTGTCTCTGTCATTTCAATAATATTTTTAAGAAGTTTTTAAATTGTTTTATTTTCCAGAGACAGGTCTGTTTAATTTATTTTCTTAAAGAAGGTTCAGTTTAACAAGTTGAAACAAAAGAAATACATAAAAAATAGTTTACTTGGTAAAATTTGCATTTCAGTTTAATTTTCAATTTTTATTCCAAATATCGTGATACATATCGAATCGTGAACATTATATCGTGATACACATCGTATCGTGAGCTGAGTGTATCGTTACACCCCTATCCACAATGGTTTATCTTTATCATCCTGCTAATGTAGATTTTGGACTGAAGCAGCTAATATTCTTTTACATTGATAAAAGGCAGAGGGTTGCTGAAGAACTACTAAGATTTCAGCTGCTCTCTGGGCTTTCACTGCCTTTCTTCATGTGTTCAATATATTTCCCAGTGTCTTTTCCTTTTATAACGCATCCCTCCATTTGTAAACTAATATGTTTTGTTTTTCCTTTGCATATATGGATTTCTTTGGTTGTTTCCAACATCCATTTAAAATTTCAAGTTAACAGCACCTTTATAAATATGTTTTCTGATTGAAATGGTGACATTACATACTTTCCCCTCCACTGTATAGCAACCAATATATTTGTATAAACACAGCTGTCATTTCGCAAACACAGCACATGCAGTATATTCATCTTATAGTATGCAATAACAATGTGTCGTTTTGAAATGTCAACCTTAAGCATCCCACCCAACTTGCATTATATGGACTCACTGATGGATTGTTTTTCTTACTTTGTGTACAGCATTTAACCAGTTTTTCTTCCTAAAGGTATGTGTTTTGGGCAGAAGGTGGGGAGTCTGCCAGAATTGAGCGTGTCGGTTTGGACGGGGAAAGCAGATTTGCATTGGTAGTTTCATTTGTACGTAACCCTGTCGCAATCTCACTAGGTAAGTATCTGCAGTACTAGCTTAGTTGTAAAGTCAAACCTCTTTTCACTCCATATGTTAATTCACTTTAATTTGCTTTTATTCATACATTAGTTTAAGGATGAGATTTAACTATACTTTATTATGTAGAATGGTGGCCAAGATTATTAGTATACTACATATTTAAAAGGTTTTTTTTAATTAGCCACAACTATACAAAAATCACTGTCAGTTTTGCAAATTCACGCAGTCATGAGACTTTACAGAAGAAACCAAGTTAGTGTGACATTCTCAGGAAATATATGGCCTTTATGCCACTAGATGTGCTAATTGATTTGTTGCAAAAGGAGGAACTCAGCAAGCATTTTTGTTTTTAAAAGATGCCTAATAGATGTCTAATAGACATCTAAACATAGTTATCTTGGCTAAAACAAGGCTAAATCAGTAAAAATCTACTAGACGTTTAAGAAAAGCCCAAAACTAGACTAGTCATCAAATAAACAGAAATGAATGACTAAACATATAAAGTCTAATCTGTATAGATTTGGTTTATTTTTAGGTGTATATTAGATTTTCACTGGCAGCCCAAGTTTAGCCTTGTTATACCCAAGCTGTCTACATTTAGATGTCTATTAAACACAGAATTGTTTGCTGGGTACCGACTTCCACAGTTTTTAAAACCTTACACACGAGTATATACTGTACTGTTCTGAAAGATTTTTAAAACCAATTCATTGAGATAAATGATTTCATGAAGAACCTTAAACATTAAGGGAATATTTTTATTTCACAAAATCTTTTTAATATTGGAAACAACCCAGCAGGCACACAGCGACATAAGACATTATTATTAGGTAAGATTTAGGTCGTGACATCTGGTGACTAAAATTCAATCTCTAACCAGCATCTAAGGACAACCAGGAATAGAGATTTAGCATGGACGGAGGGGACGCACCCCTCACCAAAACCCCTCAATTATAAAAGTTGTTTGCTGGGAAATCTCTCAGATAATCTTTTCAGATCTTTCAGATTAATTATTAAAACAAATCATTTTAGCCACCACTGTAGAAAAGATGTCTCTTAAGCAACTGTTTTTCAACTTCATATTTTACTTCACTTTTCATGCATTCAAATAATCAGTTCTCCCAAAAAACATCATTATATCATTAATAGGATATTTTACATGAAATCTGAGAGCTGTCTCATACTTCATAGACCGGAATGAGGGGACTTGTGGAGCTGCGCATTGATGGACTTGCTCTTCAGTGTTTGGAAGTTCAGCAGTGAAATTTAAACAACTGAACTGAACTTAAACTCTGAAAACTGGAACTTCTGTTAAGCTGCTTTGGCACAATTTACATTTTAAAATGACAGAAGAAATAAACAAATAAACAATGATCCAAATTCAAAAAAGAACAAAAAACATTGTCAAAACTGTCCATGTGACTTCAGCAGTTTAGCTGTAATTAAACAAAGCTCCAGAAACAATCTTTTGCACCAAAAAAAGTAAAAATGACAATGTTGACCAATGTCTTCTCTTTTGCAATTGGTCAGGGGGTGTTTTTACTACAGTACGTGCAATACAGCGTGTTGCGATTATAACATAACATAAGTGTTATATTACCAGAAGTAAAAGCACAGCCTGAACTTTACTATTTTTCCTGCTGCACAAAAGTGTTTTTGGAGTTTGATATGATTACAATTGAACCACTGAAGTCACATTGAATGCTTTGACAATGATTTTAATTATTTTCCTAATGGTTTGGAGACCCTTGCTGTCTATGAAGGATGAGAAAGCCCTCAGATTTCATCTAAAATATTGTATTTTGTGCTCTGAATATAGAATAGAACAACATGAGAGTGAGTAATTATTAACAGCATTTTAATGTTTGGATGCACTGATACTATAAGGATGCTTGTTTCATGTCTGAATAATAATTGTCATCTATGGTTGTTAGTTTTCATCACTGAAATATGATAAAAAATTATTTCTTTGCTCATCTAGATATCCCTCGTGGGCTTCTGTACTGGGCCGACTCCGGTCTGCGCTCAATATCAAGGGTTTTATTTGATGGACAATATAGAAAGACGGTTGTAGAGTCCAATGGATACCTGGATCAGCCATTTGGACTGGCCATATTTGAGGTACACAACACAAGCCTTTGGATTTTCATTTATTCATTTTCTTTTTAGTCCCTTTATTAACCAGGGGTCACCACAGCGAAATGAACGGCTAACTTTTGCAGAATATGTTTTACACAGTGGATGCCCTTCCAGCTGCAACCCATCACTGGGAAACACCCATACACTCTCATTCACACACATACAGTATGGATAATTTGAGAGGGTGCTAGATGCAGACCTGGTGCAGTGCAATCTGATGTGCATCCAATGCTTTTTAATGCTCTCACCTAACCCCACCCCTAACCTTACCCGTCACAGTGAAGTCACTCACTCCATTGAGTGCATTGTGTTTGAGATTGCATCGCTGAGTGATGCAATCTCAGCTTGCATCATAAAGGCTGCATCCAGATACTATTGGATAATTTAGCTTACCCTATTCACCTATAGCGCACGTCTTGGACTTGTGGGGGAAAGCGAAGCACCCGGAGTAAACCCACTTGAACACGTGGGCTTTAAAGCAGCAACCTTCTTGCTTTTAAGTGACAGTGCTACCCACTGCACCACTGCATGCTTTGCCTTTGTAATATTTAATTTATAAAACATACCAGTATCTATGTTCATGCTACTAGGACAGGAGTTTTGTTTTATGTTGCTAGTATTTTTCCATACTTAATTACTTGGATACTAGTTATTGTTAGTTACTAATACTCATTCGTTACTACTGCCTAATAAATAGACACTGGAAGAGTACTTATTTATCCGATACTAGCACTTTTTCATTAGAAATGTGTACTTAATTATCATATTATAGTACCAATTAAGCAAAGTAGTACTTCTTATTAGTTACTAGTACTTTAGGTACTTATTAGATACTAGTAGATATTTCAGTAGGTACTAGTATCTATTGTAATATAGGTAAACATATTTTAAAACATATTGATTAAATAGTGAGTCAAATATTGTTGTTGACTTCTTCGTCTTTAAGATATGATCTGTTCAGTTTTGGATTAGTTGTATTCTATATGCATATGACAACTCTACATTTTATGTACTAGTTGTAGTTATTCTTTAGGCAAGTACTTATTAGATGCATACTAGTACCTATTATTATATGCTCATGCTTAATCATTAAAAACAAATACTTATTTATTTGATACTAAATAGAATAATTATATATTGTATTATTAGATACCTGTTTTTAATTATTTGGTGTAAATAGAATGTCATCGTGGTAATGGACGCAATTATTTCTCTGTACATTTTATGCAATTTTTTATTGTTTAATGAAACTATTGGTAATGTATATACTATATGTAATGAATTTTATAATGAAGTGGTGTTTAGTTGCTATTGCTGGATTTTTTTTTTTTTTCTTTTCCAGAGTCGAGTGTACTGGAGTGATCAGTTGACCAACTCTATTTGTAGTGCAGACAAGCACAATGGCACCATGCTCAGAGTGCCTCAGAGACTGGGTTCTGCTTCACCAGCTGGACTGGTCATCCTTCACCCACTGTTACAGCCTGCAGGTAGTCTGAAATCTTAACACTGTTTTCTAAAATCCCATTCAGACTGTCAGGTTACCTAACGCGGAGTTCAGACTGCATGATTTTAGCCCCAATTTTGATTCGCTGACAGATTTTGAGAAATTGCAGAGAAATGCTGAAATCACGGGTAAATCAGTGCTCGTTCACAGAAGGAACAATTACACAGTTTGAACTATCAAAGATGCAATCTGAGAGAATCGCCGATAAGTCGCAGACTCCAGTGAGGTATTTGGCATGCTGAATATCTGGAGCTGTCGGCGACTCTAAATCATGCCATGTGAAATGTGTTCTGATTGAAAATAACATTGGCGATCCCCTACAGCCAATGAGAGAGCAGCATCCGCTAGTATGGGTATCTGCAGGCCAGCGGGAGGTTGGGGGAGAATTTTAAAGCGCTTCTTTTCTGTCTATTTGGACCCAAGAAATCAAGAAAAAACTAGTGTATATTTGGCAGCAGCATTGTCTGTTTGACATGTCATCTGATCAATACCACACCACCAGTTCGAAAAAGAAAAAAGTTTTAGACAAAAATGCTAATTTCCTTCAAAGGCGAGGTGAGTAAAATACGAACATTTTTACCCCACTAAAAGCTGCTTTCTCACTATGTCGTTAATAACGCATGTGTTTGGTTGTGAGACGTAGTTTGTGAACCGAGACAAAGTTATCGGTAATTTTTTGATATGTAAAGTCATGCAGTATGAAACCCCTTTTCACCGATCTATCCTACAGTATAAATACAGCACCAACAGAACGCTACCCCAGATAGTCATGCAGTGTAAAAACATCTGTGGCATGACTACTTTGAAAATCGTGCAGTGTGAACTCAGCATTGCCCTAACCCAGGGGTGGGCCAACTCGGTCCTGGAGGGCCGGTGTCCTGCACAGTTTAGCTCCAACCCTAATCAAACACACCTGCTTATAGATTTCTTGTGATCTTAAAGACACTGATTAGCATGTTCAGGTGTGTTTGACTAGTGTTGGAACAAAACTCTGCAGGGACACCGGCCCTCGAGGATCAAGTTTGCCCATCCCTGCCCTAACCCATGAAACTGAAGAGTAGATAAGCTAAAGCAGCAGAAGATTAAATGCACACTTGGTGACACTCCTTTTAACAAAGAACAATAAATTAACTAAGGTGTTTTCATCTTTTGACTCTATTATCAATCGATTATATCATTAATCATGCTCAATAGTGTCAACACAACATTCAACACGCAGCATTCTGCTAAATGAGTTGAACAAAGTTAGGCACTTGAGTAAAAGTGCAGATAGCTAAATAAAATATTTCTACAGTAGAAAAATAAGCTTCTCTTTTTCAATATTACTTGAGTCAAACTAACAAAGTACTTTAGTTTTTTTAATTTACTTTAGTAAATGCACTTAGTGATGTTACAGGATGTTTATTTAGCAAAAATGGTGAATTTCCAGACTTACTGTAATAATCACACTAATAATTAGCGATAATTCAAGTGAATACATGTGAAACCACATTCACACGCTGAACCCCACCCAGATCAGTTTGCATAATCAGTGAATCTTTCTCTTTAGATCTTTTGATTCAGTGAGTCATTTACTGGAGACTCACTATGAAGGGATCATTTGAAGCTTAAGTTCACTCCAAAAATAGTAGAATGGGAAAACAAAATTAATCTCAATTCATGCAGCATCAGAATTTAGCATTAAAACATGAAGAAATATCCAATATTTTACAGCAAGCAGGATTAGTTAAAAGTGCAGTGGGTGATCTGCCAAAATGCTGATTGGATAGCATATTAGCTTTGGACGGCAGGGAGGGACTGTGTTTAAAATCCACGTCTCTTGAAATCACGAGCGTGCCCACCGAGACACGACAGCAGACAACCCAATTGATTCGCCAGTTAAAAGTGGATGGCTGGGCGGCGTGCAGGAATTTCACCTATTACTATGCCACACTTACACACTTTTTTAGACTGAATATTTAGAGTAGCGGTAAACAATATCGGGAGCGCGTCACAGGCTGTCATTGCACAGGCGGCAGGCATGCACACACTAATGGCGGATATGCGTGAACAGAGACTCTCAAAAGCCCAAATCTGCATTTGTTGACTGACAGTTTGAGTTACTTATTGGGATTATGAGAGATGTCGGTCCGACTCTATTTAATTGGATGAACATTTTTTTAGTTTTATGCCTTACCCAGAATATAAAAATACATATAAATACATTTAGATCATTTACCTTAATCATTGCTATTGGAATGTGAAGAGACTTTCAACCAGCACAATTAAAAATGTTTCTGAAGACAATCACCTACTGCACCTTTAATTACATTAGTTAACATATAACGAGAGCTGGGGGAGCAGAGCGAGGCCAGGGGAACAAACGTTATTAATGAGCAACACTTTTTTTTTGTCTCAAGAGTGCCAGGGAGGAGTAAATAAAAATAATGAATGCCAAATGAATTAGGGATTGGGATGCACATACATCTAATACTTTGTTTAGCTTAGATGTTGTTGTTATTTTATTTTTACATTTTAATAAAATGGAATTTGAGAAAAAAAGTTAATGTTTTATGTAAAAATTAGGGATGTAACGGTATTGTAAATACCGTCATACCGCAATATTAAATTTTTTCGATATTACCGAAGTCGCATGACTCGGTAAAACTATAGGTCTTCTGAGAAAATTTGCTCAGGCGAATGAAGCGAACGGGAGGTAGCTGGAACTTCATTTCCCATCAGCCCCGGCGTGGCCATAATCCTTTGCGGTCTGTTGTCGCTACAGATCCAGTAATGCGGAAATGGAGTGTGCTGCTAGTAGCGGAGATGAAAAAAAAGATGGAAATGATCGAACCTAAAGCGGGTGTTGTCGCCGCGCGCGTGCTGAATAGCGGTGCTGTCGCGCGCGTTCTGATCAGCTGTTGTGGCGCGCGTATTGTAAAGCGCCGAGGGGGGGTTGAGCGCGCATACTCAAGAGAGGTGTTATCGCGCGCCTACTGAAGGGCTGGACTGGACGGAGGTTGTGTCGCGTCGCGGGGGCACTTTTGATCGTTTTGGAAGGGCATTTTCTATCCAAGACTAAAAAGGGCATGTGCACTGCACAGGTTGAGCCCTATGTGTGCACGTGCCTGCAAGTTGGGGAATACGACTAATAGCAGTCATGGGGACTGCAGAAACACAGCACACTGTTCAGATTGATGCAGACATTGACTTGTACCGCAAAGAGATCTCTATCTCACTCATGGTTTGTCCTCTCAAGTGGGGGAAAGACAATGCACAACGTTACCCCACTGCTGTCAACATGGGCCAAGTCATATCTCTCTTGTCCCAGAATCCTCAGTCCCAAATGAGAGGGGTTTTTTCTGTTGCAGGGGACATTGTAAATACTCAGAGATACCAGCTTTTACCAGATTATAGTTATATGATAATTTTCCTTTAAACCCATCTCTATCTAAGTGAGTGATTAAATGTTAAATGTGATGAGTTTTTAACAATACTAAATTGAAACTTTATTTTTTTACATGGTTTAATAATTTTTTGTTATTAAAATTGAAGTTCCTGTTTCAAAGCTAACAGATAGATGACTAATTTGTATGTCATTGACACTTTTGGCACTTTTTTGGGAGTATTTTCAAAAGTTTTTTTTTTCCTGTAAATGATTCAATAAATACCGTACCGTGACATTCATACCGAGGTATTACCGTACCGTGAAATTCTGATACCGTTACATCCCTAGTAAAAATACTAATACAGCATTTATTCATCTTAGTCCTAACACATTATTAAAATCCAAATTTATGCTTGGTAACATTAGTTAACAAGAGCTAATAATGAATGACTTCAACATTAAGTTAATTTTGTTGAGAAAAAATTGTCATAATTTTTGTGATGAACAAGTTTCTACCGATGAAAACTAAATAAAAATTAAGTGATAATGATAACAACTATAATGAATAAAACCCTGACATTATTGTTGACTAGACGAAAATGTGACTGAAGGATGTTTTTTTGGAAAACATCTAATCAAAATTAATCTTGGTGTGTGTGATGTATGACGCACATTCGCACAGTATCTGGTCCACAGTAGATGTAGGATTTAATTATATCGTCTTCCATAGGAGCGTCTGTCTGATTAAACTATAATAAAATGGCAACAGCTGAGAGAAAAGGAAGATTCACAGTAGATGTCAAGACAAAAAGAGTGTTAACCTTATGGGAAGGAAATACCTTACAAAAATAATACAACTAAAGCGACATAAGCAGAATCGTCCTGAAAATCACGCAAAGGTATACTCTGATTTTTCTATTTACCAGAGTGTGTGCTTTTGCCCAACTGAAACAGAATAGCCTGTCGCTAGAGTAGATTTAGTCGATTAAAAGCTTATGAAATGTAGTCGACTAAAACTAAATTGATTCAGAAGACTAAAACCATGATGGAATTTCAGTCAAAATACTAAAACTAAATCTAAATCAAAATTTGCTGTCAAAATTAACACTGGTTTGGGATAAAGTACTGAAGACTGAAGACTGAAGGCCTTTATTCTGAAAACAACCGTCATGGATGTACTTAATCTTTTTTGTTTAATAACTACTAGCCACAAAGCCTAAAAATTTCTCTCAAAACAATGTTTCTGAGCTATAATAATTTATTAATACATTTATTAAAGGCAGCGACGCGGTGGTGCAGTGGGTAGCGCATTCACCTCACAGCAAGAAGGTTGCTGGTTTGAATTATAATATTTTGTAATATTAATTAAAATATTACAAAATTTCTCTTTCTTTCTTTCTTTCTTTCTTTCTGTCTCCTTCCTTCTTTCTTTCTTATTTTATATTGTTTAATTGTGCACATTTACTTTCATCAATAACAATGTTTCTGAATATATGATTGTGGTTGAATGTTAGTATTTAAATGATTGTCTGAGTACATTTTATGTGTACAGATTGGCTCTATTCAGGAAACAAACTAATTTATATTCACTTATTTAATTTGTACTTTACAATATGAAAAGTACATATTGTACCCCCCCCCCCCCCCCCCCAAAAAAAATCTCTCTCTTTAAAAAAAAAAGTAAAGTTTGATTTAAAAAAAAAGTCCTTTAATGCCAAGACTCTACTCTTACAACTAGAAAAGGTTGTTTATTGTCACCGAGTATGTTTGTATGGACACTAATACAGTGATTTTAATAAGATTAAGACAATATTCTGATTGAGAGTCTACTATATAAACAGCGATTTTTGATTACCCTAATTCAACTAAAGTCATAATCAAACTAAACGGAATTAAGATATGTGACGTATGCAGATTTTAGTGGCATTATTGAAGTGCAAAACAGACATGTAAACACCCTAATCAAACCATTACCGTCGTGTAGGATTTTTGCCGCATTTTGCGACAGGATAGTCAATACAAACACGGCTGTTTGACACTATTCTCTGCACCTACAGAGTCAGTGACGGACTACAGACACCTGCATTGTGAAATGCTGAGGTTTTTTTCCCCCATACGCCGCGCAGTATCACATACCATGACAACAACACTCTTCTAGCAATTCCTCACATCCAATATCTCGTTTGTCATGGGGGCATGAATGAAATGTTCCTGAATGAAAGTGAAAGTGCCGAGTTACATGAAAGTTACATGAAACTCCGGAGGAAACAAGGATAGTGTGGCGATGCAATGACTTCAATTGAATTATGTGCTATAACATGTAAAACGGGATCATGAAAGGAACATTCATAAAGCAACTCATGTAAACATTTTAATCATATTATTGCCTTACTCAAATTAAAGAAACTAATTTGATTACTGATGTCCATGTAGATGGCGACACAGTGGCTCAGTGGTTAGCACTGTTGCCTCACAGCAAGTTCGCTGGTTTGAGTCCCAGCTGGGTCAGTTGTCATTTCTGTGTAGAGTTTGCAGAACATAGAAGAAAAACTATTATTTTATTTAACAATATATGATTGTGATTATTTGCATTTAATTTCTTCTTGCATTTTTAGACAAAGTTCTATCGCCATCAGAAATAAAGACTTCTTCAAACAAAGAACTCTTACCATCGGAAACAAAAACAGCACTTCCGGATTCACAGTTCACGCTGATGCTCACTTTGATTGGTGGGTGTAATTTCCATTATAACCTCAAAGCATTTCCCTTTTAATCTTTGTACTTTTAACATTGCTCACCTGTGTTTGTGCTGTGTCTAGCAGTCATCCTCAGTGTGCTGCTGTTTGGTTTGGTTCTGTGGTGGCAGAGATCTGAATTATGTGCCCATCGTTCAGTCTCTCTGCTTGGAGACGTGACGCTTAAAGAATCCCAAGATCCTCTTCTGTTATCCAGTCTACCTGCAGTACATGAACATCAAGTAAGAGCCAGTCATATTACAGAGACCAATCTCCAATCTCTCAATCATTTCAGTTCAGATAAATTAAGGAATATAAAAACTCCTCCCCAGTGGGATCTTTAAGCATCAAAAAATGTGAGAGCAATAAAGGTTTACTTACATCACACATTTTATATACATGTAGCATCAGCCTCTACTATGTGTTTTAAAATGAGACTTGTAAAAGAAGACGTGATAGTGTTGATGCCACATTCTTTAGGCTTTTATGGTCGACTAGGAAGAGCAAAGTTGACACACCAGAGCTCCAGAAGCAGAAAAACACAAATTGCAGTTTTCCTTACAGGTTATATGTCCAGCCTAGGTCTTCATCAGACTTAAATAAAAATATTTGTTACTTTTGGAGATGTGGTGTGCCAACTTACCTCACCCAGTTTCATATTGTTATTTTTGTTTTGTTTTTATACCCACATTGAGTTTTTAGCTTGTTGCATGTCAAACCTGTGTTATTTAGTGCCATATATATAGTGTCAAAATAGCTTAAAGGGGCTAATAAGATTGACGTAAAATTAAAGCCGAAATAAAACCAGTAAGACTTTCTCCAGAAGTAAAAATATTATCAGACATACTGTGAAAATCTCCTTGCTCTGTTAAACATCATTTGGAAAATATTTAAAAAAGAAAAAAAAATCAAAGGGGGGCTGATAATTCTGACTTCAAGTGTATATATTAAAATTATGATACCTTTTACAGTAGATAAAAATAATACTTTTCACAACCTTTATAATAGTAGCTTTATCGTTTTAATTTTGTTATACATTACTTGTTCTTTATAAGTTCTTCCAAGGTTCTTTGCATGCACAATAATTAGAACATCCAATATATTGCAATGAAATCAAACTAATTTGGAAATGGATTTTAAGATGGACAATATGGCTGCTCAATATATAATTTCATCATCAATATCGCATTGTTTGCATCTGCAATAGTCACATCGCAGGATCTGCAATGTCGAATCGAGATTATAGTTGACTGAGAGGCAAAGTTAAAACACTCATGAAATTGTTAAGTTACTGAAATGTTTTTAGGGCTCGTGAATGTGTGTACAGTTCAAGCCAGGTAAGTTATTATACTGTTTATAACATTAAAAAATATTATTTGTAATAATTAGACTCTCAAAAAACTGTTTATTTCACTTGCTTTTTTGCTTAACTGTATTTATGAATGCTTGTGATTGATTTATTGTATTTTTTTAGCATATGTACCTCGCTACAAAATTATCACACAGTTCGTCTAAAATGATATTATTCCAGTCATCTGGTGAAAACATACTCAATATTGCAATATGTATCACGTCAGTTTTTTCCAATATCGTGCAGCCCTAATGGATAGTGAAGTAAAGCAGTGGAGGAAATCACTATAAATTGAAATAATGTAATAAATTAGAATTAAATTTGCAGTAGGTGATTGTCTTCAGAAGCATTTATTGTTGTACTGGTTGAAAGTCTTTTCACAGTCTAATAGTAATGATAACAGTAAATGATCTAAATGTATTTATTTATATATTTTGGGTAAGGCAATAAACAAAAAAATGTTCATCCAATTATATAGAGTCGGACCGACATCTCTCATAATTCCCGATAAGTAGCCCACGATCGGTAAAATCATGCTGAATCAAAACTTTTTAAAAACCTGACTCAATATTAGAGTTACCTTTGCACGTTGGAGAAAGGATGACACCATGTCTGAAGGATTTCTCTTAGACAGGTAATGTTCTGTTTTAAAACAGTTTTAGCTTCACGCAAAGCTGATGTAAAGTTAGATGTTGTTGTTATAAATGGGTTATATCTTTACAGAAGTGTTGTTCAGCTACTAAAATCTTTCAATGAAAGATTGATAAAACTATTTTCAGTTCTATAACGGACCTTTTACAGCATCGATGATGTAGATTTTAATTAGTTTAACAACAAAATACAAGTAAATATCGCTATTTCACCTAGTCTCTCCCTATGTTGTTTACCATACAACTCTAAATATTTGCTTTAAAAAAGCATGTCAGTTTGGCTTGCTCGCTGCCGGACAAGCAGTAGTTGCTTTTAACACATGAGAGAGGGTTCTTTTGCGGTGCTCGTGTTTTAGGAGGCGTGGCTCTAGACGGCAGGGGAGGGACTGTGATGATTTATGCTAAGCTGTTAGCATTGTGGAAGATCACCTACTGCACCTTTAATTATACTTTATTAGCTCATTCATTAGAAGGATGATTTAACATTTAAGTTGAAGGTGTTATCCAAAGTTTCTTTAAAAAAATAGCACTATATTATACTACTTTTGTTTTCCAGTTCTCAGTCATGTATAATTTAATTTGACTTCAAATTGAAGTGACTTTTCAAGTTATGATTAAACAGCTGATCTGCTAATGATTTAAGGAGAATCCAGACTTAATCTAAACTTAACCTTTTTTTCCAGGCAAAAGATTGGTACACAATCCTGACACAACTTAAAATAATTCAGAATTTCTGCCAAGAGAGAAACAGACAGAGAAGATTGCATAAAATCCAAAACATAATGTAAAAAATTGTAAAAATAATTCTCAATTTCTGCCAGGAGAGAGATAAACAGAAAAGATCAGCATGAAATCCAAAACACAACTTAAAAATAATTCTCAATTCTTGGCAAGAGAGAAGTGAATTTCTGCTGAGAAAGATAGCAGGAGCATGAAATGGAAACCACAACTTTAAAAAAAATTAAGAATTCCTGGCAATAGAGAGATAGACAGAGAAGATTTGTAGGAAATTCTTGTTATAGATTCTCACATTAATAGTTTGACAAATCTTTTTAAAAGGCCAGATAAAACAAAAGAATCCTCAATGTTTAGCACCTAAATTTATGTAGCTTTTGTTGGACCTTTTCTGGTGCCATCAAGAGCCATGCGCCTGTTTTTTTGGGGGGGATGAAGACAAAAGCTCATTAAAGACCATTCTTGGGGAGTTTCCTCATCAGAATATCAAATATTGTATTCTTTGTTTTGGCCTGCTCTCTTTGTTTTGTGGGGGGGATTAGATTGATCTAAATGTTGACCTGCTTTGTCTTTCTTGCAGACCCTCTCTTCAAATTCTACACAATGAGAAAGACACCATTTTCCTGTGGGGAAACTGCACCCATCCTGTGGTGGATTTCACAGCCCACATTTCCTGTCACGTGTGGACCAGGACACAAAAAGCACAAGCAGAAACTGAAATTTCCTGCTTGGATGCCCCAAACATGCTCTTAAATATCTACCAAATGCCTATTAATGATCGATTATTGCACAGAACAACAGTCGAACTGAATTTGCACTCAGTGTAACCTGTTTGTCTGGTAAATATATATGCTATTGTTTGACTATTATTGATATTATTTACTTTCTGAATAATTGGCGTATGACTGTATGTCGTGTCCTTCTATCTATCTCTGCACATTGTAAAAAATATCTGATTTACGTTTGTGAATTGCATTATGGGATCTTGATCTCTGCTCTGTCCACTTTTTATGTTGAAAATTCAACTCTACAGTTTAACAGAGTGACTTTTTGGTGACATTTTAGTGGTTTGAAATAGTATAATGTATACGAAATAATATACAAGTCTGTAAAATAACAAAATTTAGTGCAGTTTAAAACAATGTTTTTGTACTGTAATATACAACACACCAACCCTTACAATATATTACTTTAAACTATTAAAAATGTTAATAAAGGTCACTTTTTAGGTTAAGACAGATCAAGATCACATAATGCAATTCAAACGCATAAATAAATGGGGGAAAACACAAAATTCGAATGACAAAATATGGAAAACTCCTCATTTACGGGCATTTTAGTGTTAATTTTCTGCCGTTATGCATTACACTGGACATACAGCAGTAAAAAAATCAGAGACAGTATTCTGTCAATAATTAACAGACCACATCGTTACTCAATAAGTTTATGAGTTCTGAACTTGTTTCAAGGTGTTGTCCTGTTTAGTGTATGCTGCTGTAATCAGTGACAAAGTGACTACTGTCCATCACTGTTGAATTTATAGACGCACAAGTTGACCAATCTGTCTTTGAATGTGTGTAATGTGTCCATTGAGACCATTTATTTTATTTAGAAATTCACTGATGCTGGAAATGACCACAGAGGTGGTTGTGTTATATTTATTATGTGAGGACAAAAAGAATGGCTATTTATTTTCCCGGAAATCGGTTAGCTTTAAAACAGGGTTTTTATCTTCTTTGGTACAGGTTTGGTTTAAAAGATTGTTTTTTGAATCATTTTTATGACCTGTGGCATGGTGATATGTTGGACTCGAAGAAATAAAATATGGGTTTTATAATAATTCTTTTTTTTTATTATCATATAATTAGTTTTTCTTGTGTACATTTATGTTTTTTTCCCCCTTTTTTTTAAGAGCTTCAGCAACCTTGACTCTATTGGAGAAAAAAAGGCAACCTGACATCTTTAGAGTTAAAGGATTTAGCGATCCATAAATAGAGTAAGAATGAATAAATGATGATAAAGTTCAAATTCCAACAGTAATTGATGCTGGGTCACTGGAAAAATAGGATGTGAGTCACAAGGTAATTTGAAATGAAAGTCAGTAAAAGCTACGTTATATGTGCCATCTGCCATAAAGAACCGTGAATGTGTGAGCAAATGACATATCAGTAGTTTTGACACATTTAAAACTGTTCTCTCTAATACTGTGTATTAGGAGAAGAGCCCCAGACTTCCCTGTCCCCAGACACTTCCTCCAGCCCCTCCGGGGGGATCCCGAGGCTTTCCCGGGCCAGCCGAGAGACATAGTTTCTCCAGCTTGTCCTGGGTCTTCCCTGAGGCCTCCTCCCGGTGGGACATGCCTGGAACACCTCCCATAGGTAGGTGCCCAGGAGGCATCTGAAAAAGATGCCTGAGCCATCTCAACTGACTTCTCTCAATGTGGAGGAGCAGCATCTCTCCTCTGAGTTCCTCCCGGGTGACAAAGCTCCTCACCCTATCTATAAAAATGCGTCCTGCCACCCTGTGAAGTAAACTCATTTCGGCCGTTTGTAACCGAGATCTTGTCATTTCATTCAAAACCCAAAAGCTCAGAGGGAGTAGGAACGTAGATTGACTGGTAAATCAAGAGCTTTGCCTTTCAGCTCAGCTCCTTCTTCACCAAGACGGAGCGGTATATCAACCGCATTACTGCTGCCGCTGCAACGATCCGCCTGTCAATCTCACGTTCCATCCTCCCATCACTCGAAAACAAAACCCCAAAATACTTTAACTCCTCCACCTAAGTTGAAACCTTTAATACATTTTGAGAAAAAAAAATACAGAAGTCAAGAGAGACTACATGCCTTAAGTGTTTCAGTTAGAAGTTTATCAAGCTACAGGGATGCATTTGTGCGCGCATGCACAAAATAAAAATGAAGACTTTATTCAACAGTTTATTCTCTCCTCAGTATCAGTTTTGTGTATGAGTAAAACTGTGCTTTGATTAAAATGTCAGATGACAAAATGGTATCACATTTGACACAATGCTTAAAATGAAAGTGCTCTTGTGAGCGGATGTTTGGTGGTAACTTTTGAAGACTTCACCATATTAACCAACATATAGTTGCACTTTTTGTGTCATACCACACTGTTAACAATCGTGTCAGTTGTGCCTTTTCTGCCCTGAAACCTTTGATTAAATATATAGTCACTCCATAATGTAAAGCAAACCCATTGGATTTGTAGGCAAGTGACACAACAACAGTGTAGCTGTATATTAAGGGTTTCTCCATTGACCTTCAGTTTAAACAACTTCCATTACCTGGTAGTTTCAGCTGTTTTTCTTTTCACTACATGTCCTGTTTCAAGTCCTTATTCATTTAATCTAAAGCCATCCTCCCTTTTAGACATTAGATGAAACATTTCAAAAAGTCAACAGAATTGTCCTAGAACCAACATAAGATGCTGACACAGTGAGGTTATACACTCTGTAAAATCACTTTATTGCGGATTATGTTGTACTGTCCCTTGGCAAATATGTGTATGTTTTATTATACTGTGCTTAAAGTGTTCTATATTACACTTGATGCACAGCAGTTATGTTTTATTGGAAAAATCCTCATAGAATATAAAACCTCCATAGAACAAAATCACATAGAATTAGTATTAGATTTAGTAGAGATATAAACTGCATTGCAAAGGGGTTTAAAAGAAATAATTTTGTGAGCCTCGTTAAATGTTACGCAAATTAGAGATACGTTATGGTGACGAATATGCTCGTCAGGTTTTGAAACTTAAGTCATAAGTTTTCGGTTTCCTTTGAGATCTGCACCACAGCGAGTCATTAGAGGAAGGAGTTGGAGCTGTTATCAGCAGGGCGCATATGGTCGCTGTAGCTCATTTCCACATTAACAGAATCAATATTTGTGTCGACGTTACCCCATGAAGCGAGTTAACAGTCAGGTAAGGTAAATGCTTTCTTTCTGCTTCGTTTTGGCGTTTACGTTAAATTACACAGCAGATTACTTTGATTTATTTTGAGCCAAAGGTAAGATGAAAATAGCAAAAAATGGGTTTAAATTATGTTTCGTTTACGACTGCTCTTTAAAAATAAGATTTGTCAATGTGGCAACACAATGAAAGTTTTGCGATATAAAATGTTTTACATGATTCTTGCGTGTATTGGTTGTCGAACATAACGGGTTAGAGAGTTTAGAGCTAATTCGGTCATTATATAATGATAAAGTAAACATCTAATTATTTGATGTAAAGCTTGAGAGACCATCAGCAGATATCTCTTCTGATACAATCTTAAATCAAATGTAAGTTTAAACAAAATTTGACGTCAAACTGCACTTTTTTTGCTTAACTTCTCCTTTTGCTGTCAGTCGATCTGAAACAAAGCAGTTAAATTATTATTTAATCAGTATGTATACGATGTGAGAAAATAATTACTATACAAAATGCATTTTCGGGGCAAATGGTTAATTAATTTATCTACTAAGCAAATTCAAATCGGTTTTACGCAGCTAAATAAACCTGTTCATAGCTATTTTGCACAGTTCTCTTGACGTTATCCTAATGTTTATCATAGACATATTCATGTTCGATCAAAATGATTAATTCTTTAACAACAAATTTTATTCAGCTGAACACTCAAAGTTTACTATGACAAAGCATGAACAATAAATGTAACAACTGTCGGTAAAACTTTAGAATATCTTGGAAGTAATATACATTAAATAATGCTTAACTAAGCACAGACGTGTGACTTATGCAGAACTAAACCATAATATCCTTCTGAATCATAGATTAAGTAATCAATAGATTGTAATTAGTTAATTGTGTGTGCTAATGTATAAATTGTCTATTAACGTAGACCTATAGTATTAACTAAGAGTGTACATTCACATTTGGCTCTTTAGAACATTGCATGTCATATGTAGACAGGCCTGTAGCCAGGAGGGTTTGAAAGACCTAACCCCCCACAAAGTCCAGAATTTGGCCCCTTTATGAGCTCCTTTGTCTTATTTTTTGACAGTTCACAATCTGTAGATGGACAAATCACAGGCAGATTCAATAATAAAGTTAGTTCGTACAAAAAAAAAAAGTATATTTATTTTGATAACCTATTGTCAATTTTTTTTAGCCCCACCCCACCTCCCCCACAAAAAAAGAAATAAAAAAGGAATAGATATAAATATATTTCACACCAATCTAAAACAGTTTATCCCTGCTGTTTTAAATTTGTTTGAAATTAAGTGAATTCTCAGGGTATAAATCAATAATTCTAAATATGTATTGTTATTCCTCCATAAAGCAGAAATACTTCCCTCAGTTTAGGCACCCTTTATTGTTTCACAGGATGGTTTTACTCATCTTGGGATCAAAATTACACCAACTCTAAATAAAATTGTTATTACAGGTCTATATCAGAAACTGTAAGAGGTCTGTTGAATATGTAGATGGACAAAACTCTCTTTGAGTGGTCTTGTTAATATTAACCCAAATTGTTATAGAGCAATTCCATTGTTATGGATGTCACATTTGGAGTAAAAATCCAAAACATAAATTCACAAAGAAAGTAAACGTTAACATTATATTGAAACATATGTTTATATTTTACAAAACAACTAACCACAAAGTTATGGGATCAGAAAAATATCAAACTGTAAACCTTTTTTAGATTTGAAATGAGGAAAATAAACGTGTTATAGTTAACTAAACACTATAGTTCACTAAAAAGTTAGTGAATTCACAACATAATTTGTTGTAATTCTGTCAATTAAACTGCACAATCCAAAAGAAACAATGCTTTGGATATTTTGGATGTGACATTATAGATGTGATAGAGTAAATCAAATACAATTGTGTGAAAACATTGCAGAGATAGTTTTTGAGTATTTTGAAAGTACTGTAAAATACAAGCTTACACAAAAAATGAAGAAACAGTTCACTATTTTGCTGAAAACTTTTGACATTTGCAATTGCTCTATATATTCTTTTCATATCCCTCTAATGAAAAGAAAAATATTTACCAACTTCATCTGGAAAAAAACAAACACCCACTTATCAGGCTGTCCTTGCTATATTTGCCTTATAGGAGAGCGGAGTTAAACCTACCAAACTTAAAATGGTATCACTGGGCCGCCAGGGGCAATGTTCTATTTTGAGTAAGTGTAACACCCACCTGTATTTCTGTAGAGGCCAACTAAATTTGAAAGGCATTGAATTTATATTTGTATACAGCCGATACTAAAGAAAGTGAATACATTAGACTACAAATTCATTTATCAGAAATACTATAGCAGTTTGGTTTGAGGCTCTAAGGTGGATTAAAACAACTCTCGCATTTCTCACCAGTTTTTGATAATGAAAATTTTTATCCTGGTAGAGCCATTATAGGTTTGGTCAACTGAAGTTATTAGCAAGCTGTCTGATCCCTATGATCAATACTTGGCTTAACCTCCTCTTATTATTGTGGAGAATATTAGAATCAAGTTCAAGTTCTGTTTATTTATATAGCACGTTTCCAACTGCCACAAGTGCTTTACAGAGAGAAAATAAACACACGATATGAGCATAAAACAGTAAAAACAGCAATAAACACATATTAGGAAGGAACATACAAAGATTATCAATAAAAGAACAAAAAATAAAAATAATAATAATAATAAAATATTTGTTTCCTAATTAAAAGATGCTACCACAGTTGACCAACACTAAACACGATAGAGAACATGACCGTGAACAGAAAGAGCTTTATCGCCAGGTATGTTCACACATATAAGCAATTTGTTTTTGGACAGAGCTTTTACAGTGAAACAGAATGACAGAGACAAAACAAACAAACAAACAAAAAAAAACTGATAATAAATATATTTTAAAAATAGAAGTGAATAGTGACTGCAAATATACAAATTGACAAGTGTATGTACAGGTATATTACTATATACAATGTAATATATGCAGCTGTTATGCGCAAATTGGCATGTAAAGTATGCTGTTAAATAAATAAGTGTATATGTGTGTAAAAAGTAGTAATTATTTTCACAATTACTATCATAAAGTGTTCATGAGATGGATTGGCTGAGGGAAGAAACTGTTTCTGTGTCGGGCTGTTCTGGTGCACAGTGCTCTGCAGAATTGATCAGAAGGTAAAAGTTCAAAAAGGCAGTGTTGTGGGTGTGAGGGGTCCGGAGTGATTTTGGCAGCCCTTCAGCTCGCTCTGGATAAGTACAATTGTTGGAGAGTAGGAAGGGTTGTACCAGTGATTCGCTCAGCAGTCCGAACTATCCTCTGTAGTCTTCGGAGGTCAGACGTGGTAGCTGATCTAAACCAAACAGTTATTGTTGTGCAGCTGACTGATTCAATGATAGAAGTGTAGAACGGTTTCAGCAGCTCCCTTATAAGGTTGGCAGCTGACTAAGGAAGTACAGCCTCTATTGAGCTTTTTTGACAATGCAGTCAATGTGAGTGGCCCACTTCAGGTCTTGAGAGCTGGTGGTGCCAAGGAACCTGAATGACTCCACTCCTGCCACAATGCTCTCCATGATGCTTAGTAGGGTGAGAGCAAGGGGGTTTCTCCAGAAGTCCACTATCATCTCCATTGTTTTGAGCGTGTTGAGCTCCAGGTTGTTGTGACTAAACCAGACAGCCAGCTCCTTAACCTCCTGTCTAGAAGTAGACTTGTAACACTTAACTGTTTAAAAGGTTGAGGCCAGGTATCTGTTTTTTATAAACCAGTGATCACCAAACTTGTTCCTGAAGGGCCGGTGTCCTGCAGAATTTAGCTCCAACCCTAATCAAACACCTGATAAAGCTAATCAAGGTCTTACTAGGTATACTTGAAACACCCAGACAGGTGTGTTGAGGCAAGTTTGAGCTAAACCTTGCAGGGACACCGGCCTTCCAGGATCAAGATTGGTGACGCCTGTTATAAACAGTTGGTGAACAAATCAAAAAAGTCATTAATTGACACTTTATGTTTGTTGGTCTGACATCTATAATGATATAACAGAGTGGCAAAAAGCTTTTTTTAAAAGGCCAAACTCAGACAACAAGCACCCATTTCAGATTCCTTTTATATAAATGGCTGAGTATGCACTGAGTCTTTTAGCATCACAAATCAACAGGTTTCTCTTTAGTGGCCATATTTTCATATACAGGGTATATACAGAACTTCTTAAGTTGAATTTAATACTTTTTACTACCTTTTTTAATACCTTCAAAAAAAATTTTATACCAGCACGACTTGCACAAGCCACAATTGTAGTGGCGTAAATGAAATATCTTTTCAAATGAAATAACATATCACAGATAATTTACATTTAAGTAAAGCAGAGGGATTAATCAAGGTGCCACAATGGGCCTTTGTCCATAGTTTTTAATTTAATGTTATCTATGTCATCAATGTCAATAGTCGCTTATCTAAGAACAGTTTGGTATGGTTGTTTCCCCACTGAGCATGGAACGGGGTGGCACGATTACAAACGTTTCTCAGCCCGGAACTCTCAGCATGGTTAGACAATCATGTTGAAATGTGTCCATAATTTCTGTGTGTCAGGGCTCGAAATTAACTTTATTCACCGGTGCTCCTAACTTCAAATATTTAGAAGCACCATAAAAAAAAAAATGTAGGAGCACCCACTAAAAATGAACGAGCACCACAGCATATTGTAAATTAAGGGATTTATTGTATTTGAAAACAACATTTATTAGCTCTAACAAAAATCAGAAACAACCAATGCTGTGATGACATTTATATTTGTGCAATAATTCCAAAACGAATGTCTAATAATTATAAAATATTAATAATGATGATGACAGTGATGCTACTAATAAATTACATTTCCCATTATCATGCTGCCTTGAATGTGCTTGAATGCGAGTTATCTGCTATAAAAAGTCTTACTGTTACTTTATGAAAAACAACAAAAATGAAGCATTGCAGTAAGAAATATTTATATTGCACAATTGTTTTTTTTATGCATGTCAGTTTAATAAGTAATATTTCTGCAACAAAACAAACGAAAGATTATAACAAATCATTCAATTCAAGGCTGAAAGCTGCAGTCATTAGTAATTAAATAGAAAAATAATATACATCTTAAGAAAGAATGGACACAAGAAAGTCTAATTTCTGCCACCCTTTAAAAGTTCTGGTGTCGGTTTGTGTCATTTTTAATGCTCAGCCTTGTTTTGTGCCGATCTACATTTTTCTGGGTTTGTGGATAAAAAGCAGGCGAATCAGCTGACCGGGGCAGAGCAGGATTCTCGCGATGACCACCCGCGCAATACCGTTCTTTGTCATGAGCCACAGTTTCTGTGTAAACTTAGTAAAGGCGAGCTTGTTTGGGGATAATGTGAAGTGTTAGATTTTACATTGAACAGACATTTTCACTGAACACGCAGTGAATTACGCATCGAGATTTGGGCACCTTCTCCGAAGACACTCGATTGATCTCGGCGGGCGGATCAACATTCACCACGTAATTTCCTGCAGTCACAAAAGCTCCCTGTAAATCCACGCAAAATTTAGAATAAAGGCCAGCACTTAAACAAATCGAAAATTGATCTAAAAATACTGGGCCCGAAAAATTAATACCTCGTCAGATGATATTTATTACTTTTTAATACTTTTTATTGCCCTTAATTTTGGCAAATTTCATTTACTACCTTTTACAACCCCACGGACACCCTGATATAATAATAAAGAAATAATATAAACCAATGAAAGTTTTGAACCATATTTTATCAACTTAACTTCAGAGATCCATAACTTAACTATAAATTAATACAACCATGCATTTGATTTGCTTTTGTTTCAGGTCTGAAAGCCATTGTTTTAATTCAGCTAGCCAAGGATTACTGCCAAGACACCCGCCCTCCCATTGACCCTGATTGGCCCTGGCCTGAACCAAAACTGGGGTATATATTTTAAAAGGTACCTGTACATAATAGTACCTAAAGCAAACAAAAGTGTACTGTTCCTATTGAAAAGTACCACTCAAGTAACAGATTTTACATTTGTATTTCTAAGAGTGTGCTTTAGTTTTCTCATAAATGGGATAATAATAATAATAATAATAATAATAATAATAATAATAATAACAATAATAATATATTTAGTGGATCAAACTTTACAATAAGGTTCATTAGGTAATGTTAATTAATGCATTTACTAACATGAACAAACAATGAATAATACATCTACTACTGTATTTGTTCATGTTAGTTAAGATTAGTTAATGAAAATACAGTAGTTCATTGTTAGTTCATGTTAACTCATGGTGCATTAACTAATGTTAACAAGCATGAACTCGGATGTTATTAATGGATTAGTAAATGTTCATATATGATTAATAAATGCTGTAGATGTGTTGTTCATGATTAGTTTGTGTTAGTAAATGCATTAACTAATGAACCTTATTGTAACGTGTTAACATTAGTGTATAAAACATGAAAAACACTGTACACACATTCAAAAGATACTTAAAGGCAGGTGCTCGATCAAGGCAGACTCAATTGAAAAAATAAGAAAATCAGCATGCTGCCACTTTAGCTCTCAGAAACAAGTTTGATATTACAATTAGTCATATTAAATTAGTTTTTGAGAGCTAAAGTGGCAGTGTGCCTATTTACTTACTTCTTTAACTGGATGAAAACAAACAATAGCACTACTAAAATTAGCAATGAGCAGAGATAAGCTTAAACAGGAATGCTTTATTTCAATTTGCATGTCTGAAAACACTGCTTATCTTCAGAAATGTAAAATGCACTATAAACTCAGTGTTGAGTTTCAATATTCCTTAAGCCATTTTTAAGCAATGAATATAAGAAAATGAATATATACAGTTGAGGTCAAAATGAATAGCCCTCCTCTCTCAAATGTTTATTTATTTTTTTCAAATGACAATTTTTTTTAATTGAAGAGATGCTTAACCAAGCAAGGACAATTTCATTTCTGGAGAAAATCTTATTTATTTTAGTCTGGCTGTAATAACAGCAGTTATTTAAATCTTTAAAACAATTTTAAGGTCAATATTATTAGCCTCCTTAATAAACATATTTTTTTGATTGTTTACAAAACAAACTCCTGGGTTCCAATGACATTTCTAAATATCCTAACTTGCCTAATTAACACAATAACCTTGTTAAATCTTTAAAATGGATAATAAGCTGAATACTAGAACCTTGCAATATAAGCGGAAATATATTTTGCGCTCTCACCATAGTAAAGACAAAAGAAATTAGTTATTAAAAATGAGTTATTACAAATATTGTGTTTTAAACATGATGTAAAAAACGTCTCTCCATTAACATTCACAAGACTGCTAATACTTTTGACTTCATCTGTATATAACAAAATTGTAAATGCAAAATAGATATTTCAAACAAGAAGAAATGACAACAAAAATACTCTTAAAAGTATTTAATAATAAACAGCGTAAAAAGTACACCTGACAAAATTCTTGTTGTCAATCCCAGTTGTAAGAGCAACAAATAATAACTTGACTTCTAGTTGATCATTTGGAAAAGTGGCAGAAGGTAGATTTTTCTGATAAATCATCTGTTGAACTGCATCTTATTTTAAACCCAAAGGGACCCAGAATTCTCACAGAAATCAGTAAAGTTTGGAGAAGGAAAAATCATGCTTTGGGGTTGCATTCAGTAGGGGGGCGTGCGAGAGATCTGCAGAGTTGATGGCAACATCAACAGCCTGAGATATTAACACATTTGTGCTGCCCATTACATTACAAATCACAGGAGAGGGCAAATTCTTCAGCAGGATAGCGCTCCTTCTCATACTTCAGCCTCCACATCAAAGTCCTTGCATAAGCAAAGAAGGTCAAGGTGCTCCAGGATAGACAGCCCAATTACCAGACATGAAGATTATTGAGCATGTCTGGGGTTAGATGAGAGAAGGCATTGAAGATGAATCCAAAATAATCTTGATGAACTCTCCAGCCAAAGTTATTTGAGTAATTGCAGAGATCCATAGATGCAGTCCTCCAAGCTCATGTGAGTCATACACAATATTCTTTTTCCACTGCACCACGACTTTATATTCTATACTGTACATTATCTCTGTTAAGTGAGAAGGCTTTTATCTAAGCAAAGTCAAACCTTACTGTCCTAATTAAGTAATTAATAATCAAGGCATGATCATATTTTATTGTGCTAAAATAAGCGTAATCTAGAGAATATTGCCTCTTATATAAGCCATTTCTGATACCAAATGATCAACTAGAAAGCAAGTTATTATTTGTTTTTCCTAAACCTTGGATAGGCGACAAGACTTTTGTCAGGTAGTGTAGGAATATTCAATCAATTCCATGCGTGTTCAAGAAAAAAAGGTCAGAAGAGGTTTTTCAATGTCAAAAATCTTAACAATTTATTGGATACAAAAGAATAATTTGATTCACAGCAATTTTTTTTATCCTCAATGCAATGCAGAAGTTACATTAAGGAGGAGGTGCGCAACAGTTTTCATTTCCTGACTTCAACTTATATAGGCAGCTGATATTTACAGGTGGAGATTAGGGAAATTCGTGATTTGTCAATCATTGTCCAGTCCTGCATTGGCCGCACTCCAGACATATGTCCGCTTTTTCTATATGGATGTTCTGCACAACAATAAAAGCATAAAACTTTCTGTTTTCAGTTTTTACACTTTTCTTCAGACAGGAAGTTTCTGCAGAGCCTAATTAAATTTTGGATCAGCATTTATCTACTTCTGCAAAAATGCTAATTTGTATGCACAGCATCCCACACACAACAGTAGAACTTCAGTTAATATATGACCCCTAAATGACCAACACCAACATTTGTCCGATGAAAATAAAAAGATACAAAAATAATAAAAATATATTCCTTTTCCTAACAGTAGTGTATAAAAACACTATTATTTTGTGCTCCACATGAACACATTCCATTTTAACAAATAAAAACCATGCACTCAGTCCTTGCAAATTAAATTACATAGTGGGCATGGGACTTTAAAAATGTCAAACAGTAAAATGACCAATAAAATTTCATTCATACATTACAGAGTTGAGTAGTGTATATTTTGTTTGTGTGTGTAAGTATACTGCATCATTTAGGGCAGAATGCACAAATGTCTGTGTTGAGTGTTTTTGTGACTAACAACATCATCAAGTGTGTCTCTGTTCATCAACAGGTGCAAAGATGAAAAAGAAAACAGTGGACATTCTAGCATTATTTCTGACAGGTGTTGTGTGCCTGCTCATTATTATAAACAAAAATGACTCTAAAGAAGAAGTGAAAGAAAAGAGCAAAGAAAAGCATGAAAAACTTCATGACCTAACAGATTTCCCCAGAACTGAAACTCCTCAGCCATTATCTACACGTTGTGAGCTGAATATCTCAGCTTATAATATTACTGAATTCTCTACTCTGCCAGATCATATCAAAGACTTTCTGCTTTACCGACACTGTAAGAGTTTTCCCATGATTCTCGATGTGCCTGATAAGTGTGGTGGAGCTCAAAACTCTGCAGATGTCTTCCTCCTGCTGGTCATCAAGAGTTCTCCAGAGAATTACGATCGCAGAGAAGTTCTGCGGAAAACATGGGCTGAGGAGAGACTGCACAAAGGTGTGTGGATCCGTCGAGTCTTTATAATTGGTACAACTCAAAGTGGCTTTGAGAAACGCAGGCTGAATAGGCTACTGAAGCTGGAGAACAATGAGAACAAGGACATTTTACAATGGGACTTCAATGATTCATTCTTCAACCTCACACTGAAGCAGATCCTTTTCTTAGAGTGGATGGACAGAAGGTGCCCGAACGCCAGATTCCTTTTAAATGGAGACGATGACATTTTTGCCAATACGTTTAACATGATCGAGTATCTACAGGGTCAAGAAGACAATGATGGAAGGAGACATCTCTTTGCTGGACACCTAATCCAGAATGTAGGGCCTATAAGAAATCCTTCAAGTAAATACTATGTCCCAGTTCAGATACAGGAGTCCGAGAGTTATCCTCCGTATTGTGGTGGAGGAGGCTTTCTACTGTCCGGCTTCACAGCCAGAACGATCTACAACATGTCACACTCTGTAATTCTGCTGCCCATTGATGACGTTTATATGGGAATGTGTCTGGAAAAGGCTGGCCTCAAACCTACATCCCATTTTGGCGTACGAACTGCTGGTCTGAGTGTTCCAGCTGAAAATGTCGACAAATTTGACCCTTGTTATTACAGAGAAATCATTTTAGTCCACAGGTTTCTGCCACACATGATCTTTGTGATGTGGAATGAAATACAAAACCCAGATTTGAAATGCGGAAAGACCAATGTCAATAGAACAAAAGAACAGGGTGTGTGAAGACATTTTGCAAAGGGAAATATAATAGCTTGCTGGATTCATTATGATCAGGATTTTTTAATGAATGTTGACTTTTGCACTTTAACTGGGTGGTTGATTCATTCACAGCAATATTTATTGTATTCTTCATTGTTTTGAAGAATCAAAGAGAGCATTCAGTATAAAATCTCTCAGAAATAAGGTACAAAGCTATCAAAGTTAACGTACAAAAGCTGTGACCTTTAACATTGTTTCAGGGCTTTTTCTAACTTTGTCTGGGGGTTGAGGGGGTCTTTGAGTGTTTATATTTACTGTGTATTGTATTTAGACAATACTGTTACTCTGAACATTTCTAAAAATGTTGTTACATTTGCAACTGCAAACTGCAAAATAAATGACTGGAAATGTACTGTCTGCTCCATACAGAAACTGAATTAAAGTCTTTAATTATTCAAGTCCTTCTGAATTGAAAGGGTTCATCAAGTTTATTCTAATTAAATCGTGAATCACAAATTAAATGAATTAAATAATGTGTGTATTTTTAAATTATAAAGTATGTTGACAGTCTTTATCTTACTTATAATATGAAATGCAGATTAAGGGACATACAGAAAGCTCCTGCACCCATAACAAGCTGTGCCATATGTAGAATCATCAGTGAACTAATGTTTTATAACTTAAAGATTTTTATCATGTCAATTTGTTATATGAAGACTATACAACACATTTGAATCTCAAAGGTTGGATGTGGGGATATTCGTGCTGTGGTACAGATTTCCAATGTCAAATGTTTGTAAACTGTAAAAGTGATTTTTTCCTAATTTAATATTCATGTTTATTTGTTTGTGTTAAGCTTTGTTGATGCCTGTTTTTAATATTCTGGTAAATATGGTGTTCTGAAGGATTATCTTTGCACAAATTAACTTATTGGTTATTGCACCTACCTTACATTTATAAGCCAAGCAAATGTCTCTTTTATAGCAGGTTTTTTCACAACTTTATTCTTTCTTTTTGTGGGATTTATTTATAGACATATACACTCACTGGTCACTTTATTAGGTACACCTTACTAGTATCAGGTTGGACCCCTTTTGCTTTCAGAAACACTTTAATCCTTCGTGGCATAGATTCAACAAGGTACAGAAAATATTCCTCAGAGACTGTGGTCCATATTGACATGATAGCATCACGTAGTTGCTGCAGAGTTGTCGGCTGCACATCCATAATGTAAATCTCCAGTTTCACCACATTCCAAAGGTGTTCTATTGGATTGAGTTCTAGTGACTGTGGAGCCCATTTGAGTACAGTGAACTCATTGTCATGTTCAAGAAACCAGTCTGAGATGAGTCGCGCTTAATGGCATGGTGCGTTATCTTGCTGGAAGTAGCCATCAGAAGATGGGTACACTGTCTTCATCAAAGGATTAAACATGGTCAGTAACAATACTCAGGTAGGCTGTGGCGTTAACACGATGTTCAGTTGGTACTAATGGGCCCAAAGTGTGCCAAGAAAATATCCCCCACACCATTACACCACCACCACCAGCCTGAACCGTTGATACAAGGCAGTATGGATTCATGCTTTCATGTTGTTGATGCTGAATTCTGACTCGAACATCCGAATGTTGCAGCAGAAATCGAGACTGCTCAGACTAGGCAACGTTTTTCCAATCTTCTATTGTCCAAATTTTGGTGTAGAGTGGCACCCGGTGTGGTCTTCTGCTCGTCAAGGTTGGACGTATTGTGCGTTCAGAGTAGCTCTTCTGCATACCTCGGTTGTAACGAGTGGTTATTTGAGTTACTGTTGCATTTCTATCAGCTGGAACTAGTCTGGCCATTCTTCTCTGACCTCTGGCATCAACAAGGCATTTGCGCACACAGAACTGCCGCTCACTGGATAATTTCTCTTTTTCAGTCCATTCTTTATAACCCCTAGAGATGGTTGTGCATGAAAATCCCAGTATATCAGCAGTTTCTGAAATACTCTGACCAGTCTGTCTGACACAAACAGCCATGCCACATTCAAAGTCACTTAAATCACCTTTCTCATTCTGATGCTTAATTTGAACTGCAGCAGATTGTCTTGACTATGGCTGTTTCTCAATATGCGTTCTTCAGCGATCTTGCGTCCTCAAGTAACTTCATCATCAACTGCTAAAGTGCAGTTCAAATTCTCAAGACCGCAAGAATGAAGGATGCGTGAATCTTCCTAGATGTATTTTTGAAATCGAGGTTGCATGGATGCACAATTGAGCACCGAACTCGCTCTAGAAGTCCCAGAAGTTATTACGACTGGAGGTGGGAAGCGCAGCATTTTATATAGGTTTATTATTAATGTTTAGAGATATGACTTATTTACCTCAGACGTTTCCCTAAATGAAACAGTGAATATAAACATAACCATGAAAATCTTAATAAAGGAATAAACCCATTAAGTGTGTTTATTTGCTGAAATTCATAATAAAACCTGTTTTATTTTTATTGTGCAACATACATTTGTAATTTTTGTATATTTGTTTTTATACATAGTATATATTTTAAAAAGGAAAAAAAAATTGTGTATGAATGCTGTAATTGAATAATTTACCATTAAAAAAAGCAAAGCAAAGCAGGAAAAAACACAGCTTCTCATTTCTCAGAGGACGCGTTCTGTTCTTGTGGTCTCACAAGTTCATTCATCCGTGGTGACCTGGCAAGACCAGTCTTCACAAGAACGCAAGTCTGTTCTCTGCGTTCTTGGAATTGAGAAACAGCCCATGTCTACATGCTTAAATGCGTTGAGTTGCTGCCACGTGATTGGCTGATTAGAAATTTGTGTTAACGAGCAGTTGGACAAGTGTACCTAATAAATTGGCCAGTGAATGTATATTTGACTTTTTACAATGGATTACAGAATAATCTGTCATTATCTGAAAAAACACAAGAATGTATTTTTAAAATGGAAATTAAACAGAAACCCATAATGCATTTATTGTGTTTCATTGAAGTAAAAGTGAAATAAAAAATCAGAGCTCATCGATTACCTAGACATAAAGAAACATTAATCAAAACACTTAAACAAAAGCTTTCATACATGAATGTCATGTGATTATTTTTAACCTTAGGATTTTCACTAGATCAAATCATGAATTCCTCCATCAGTTAAGTTACAGGACATCATCAAAAAAAAAATCTATTCATTGAACCTAAACAAACAATAATAGACATCAATAGCAAAGAAAGTAGATTTATTGTTCTATTATAATATAAGTTCTGATAACAGAATGATCTCTCTTTCATTGTATTCAGTTTAACAAAGGTCTTTCTCTAAATCATTTATGAGGGTGTGGCATTAATGCAAATCATTTGAAGCTGACAGTAACAATATGTGCAAATAGTGCAGTGTGCTATTTAATCAGATAGATAACAGTGGGGGATTTACACAGTCCAAATTTCAGCTTCTTCCTTGCAAGTACAAACAGTAATTTAATAGCTAAAGTGTCTTCTTGTTAAGTCTAAAATTCCCAGCTCCAAGATGCTTTAACAGATGCTAAAAGGAAGCAACAAATATACACTCAAAATATTCACGAGCCTCTCTTGTAGTTTTGTTGACTAGTGTTAAGTTCCCATGTTTCATATCCACTTTGTATGTTAGTTCCTTTACCCTGTGCTCTCCTTTAGTCCCCATGGTTACCCCAGTTAGTTCCCCTGTGATTTGTGTTCACCATCCCATTGTTTAACCCTTTATTCTCCCTGTATATAAACCTGTGTGTTTCTGTTGTTGAAGGTCAGTCATTATCTGGTGTTTGGATGTAGTACCTCTTTTATTGTGCTTAGTTCCCCGTGCATTACGGCTTGCTCTTGTTTGAATTGTAAATCTTTGGTTCAGACGTGATCCAACAGTCACAGTCGTCTTTCTCCGAACTACATCTCTATTTACATTAATTTTGCACAAAATTATATATATATATATATATATATATATATATATATATATATATATATATATATATATATATATATATATAAAAGTTTCATCTAAATGTAGTAACAATGACAAAGAAAAAAAACTGTAAAACAAAGAGCGATTCAAATGTGATAACATCCAGAATGTAACATCGTCTTCAGTTCGACACAGAGACTGAGGGCGGAGGTAAGCACAAAAGTAGAGTTATGAAAGGCAGGATAAAAAAAAAAGCCAAATTTGACCAGTTTCATCAGTGCATCATAGCCTAGCCCACTGCACATTTGCTAATCTAGGATGAGAATGTGCTGCTATGTCAAGCCTGGTGTAGATAGCCAGGATAAGTGCACATTCATGGCAGTAAAAAACAGACCACGGGATTGGTAGCAGAATCAATGATGCAGATAAAACCTGTTGGGTATTGCACAAAATGAGGATAAGTTATCAAGCTAAGTTTTTCAAGCTATTCCGGATTAATTTAACCTTGACTCAGTTATTATTATGTATTATAATTATAATATTATCATTATGAAATTATGTAGATTTATTTTTTGCAGCTAACCTGCTTTAGAGCAGGCTAACAAGATTAATCCTGTCAGTTTCGCTGTCTGTGCTACTACAAATTAATGTGTTTTACACAAAAATATGCATGTTAAATTGTAGGAGAAAGATTCATTCATTCATTTTCCTTTGGCTTAGTCCCTTATTTATCAGTGATCGCCACAGTGGAATGAACCACCAACTATTCCGGCATATGTTTTACACCACCCCAGTACTGGAAAATGAAGAGATATTTAAGTGAGATAAAATATATTTAAATAAAATGTAAAATGTTTAATATGTCTGTTGATCCAGGAACATGTCCTGCTTGGGTAGAATCATACTAATCGAAATAACTAATCTTCTTCCTGGTTAGTGAGGTTTCACCAGGTAAAACAATTTCCTGGATCAACATCTGTGTTGATCCTAGAACAACATTTCAAAACAGCCAACCAGACAGATTAAAGAATAATTTTAACGTTCTACATCTGTATTCTACATCATTGCTATTCAGCTATTAATTGCCTTTAATTTTGAGAATAATTTACAGTTGGTAATTTTAGGGATAAGGTATGGATTGCATTTTCAAACAGGAATGATGTTCATAACTGAACATAAATGTTAATCCAAGGACAAAGGGAAGAAGAAGCGATGGGATGTGAAGTGATGGTGCTTTATAATGGTGTTTTACACATGTCAGATCATGGTCTAGTTCTAGTTTCTACTGTGTGTATACAAATTTCCAAACAGCTTCTGTTTAAATATGGTGAAATAATCATATTTATTTACCAATAACCATTTTGGGCTGTTGCACTTTATTACTGCGAATACTGCACCGCTTCTAGTCTTGATCGATCTCAACATTTCCTTGGTAAGTTTAAAAACTATGTTGGCATTAATGATTGCATTGGTATTGTTCACTGTTTTTTTTAACACTGCGCATGTTACACCAATGAAATATCATAAAAGGAAACTTCCTCTAAT